CACAGAGATACACATTCACTTTCTATAGAAGCAGAGTAGCCAAACTCTTTGGTTCAAGATATATTTAATCGTGTAGGCACAGGCCTCATTGCTTATGGAGCCTAAATAAAGAACGTGAAAGTGACTGCGAGGACCAAGTGGAATGTCACTGTCCCTTGCGTCATCCCCTGGTAGCGGAGGGGATTGCTCAAGTGCAGTGAGTAATTGCTTTTGCAGTTTGTATGGCTAAGCAGAGCTTTGAGTCTTGCTTGTTGGGACTCCAGCGTGGTAGATGTAGCCGACATATGCTAGAGGTGGAATGGGCGATACTAACGAGCTGTGTGTAACTTCTTGCTCACCATGGCCTGGCCCTGTCTTTCTAAGACAGAGCTCTTGCTGTGCCAGAACCCACTCTTGAAAATGAAGGGATTTTGCAAAATGTTTTGCGCAGAATCCTCCCCTCAGTGCTGTTAGATGGACCGAGTTTCCATCGGTCAGTCTGAGGCTCTCTGAACTGCCGCCCTACTTGGAGAAAATCCACGTAAACCTACTTGCTGCCCTCGATTCCTGAAGGCTTTTGTGTGCAGAAAGTCTGTTCATGCAAGTGAGGGAAGAGCTGATGGTCTTAAGCAAGCATGGAAACACCAATACCTCTGCGTTACCCCTTAGTCTATTTTTTTTTTTTTTCATGGATTTGTATCGAATGTGCTGTCTCTATGTTTCTGAAGTGCGTTGCTCTCTGGTTCTGTGCTTTCCGGCCATTTGAAGCGGCCAAGCTGTGCTGCAGACAACATCGATGGCTGTTAAGACTTGCTCTGTCATTCATTCGGCAACACAATGCGAGCTCTCGGGAGCCGGGAGCCCATCGTAACCTGAAGCTGTGGATTATAGTAGCACAGCGTGACTGTAATTTGCACGAAGATTGTGTTTGGCCCCGGCTGGTAACCTGGAGCTTTCCCTGCTGCGTCTTGGTGCCCTTTCTGCTGTCAGCAGCTGCTCAGTTTTACCCCAATTGCACGGTGTTGATGTCTATAATATGGTCAGAAAGCCGCAGATTTGAACTCTGACGCTTCCTTTTTTTTTATTTGCAGTCTAAACTGTTTCCAGCCCTTCCCTTATCAGTACAGGCTGTTTGTTTTCCTTGCTCCCTGACCCAAACGACATAATGACATATCAAGCGGTTCCTAGATGCAGACTAGCGCACCAGCGGATGGGTATAGGCAGCGGTCAGCCAGCGCAGCCGTCAAAAGGAATTGCTGAGCTGGGAGGATAAATCTATTGTGCATCTTGTGTGTTTTATGACCGTGCCGTTGCCTCATCGGCTGTGAAAGGAAGCGATGGTGAAAGGCCTGCACGGGCTTTCAATGCTTCAGGGCTCTGCAGGAGCCTGGGTGATATAATGAATATGTTAAATGAGCCTTGGATAAAGTAGTATTGTAATACCTCCACCTCGATCCCCATATCGGTGCTTAATGGGTAGGAAATAAGATTGAAAAGGTACTTAAGACCTCTTACATCTTCTGCTGATACCCAAATTCGCTCGAGGGGGATGCTGGCAATTTGGGCAGGCAACCTGTTGAGAAGTGATGGGTGCGCTATTCTGAGAAGATAGAGCAAGAAATGCTTTGAAGTTTTCTTAAATGGAGGAAGGAAATCAGCTGACATCTGGACCGAAGAATGTAGCTTCTGCAGCTTTTACTGTAACTTCATCCCTCCAATTGATATTTATTTTGTTTTGAAATCCTGGTTGGCTTCCTTGTGGCTCAGCTCCAGCATGGACGTTGTCAGTCCTTTACCACCATCTGGCAGAGCTGCAGAGCCAGGGTTTTGGAAGATGTTCCAGGGGGAATAAAACCGCAGGTTAGAGCAAAGAGTCAAACCAGAGCCCTTGTGTAGAGCTGTGTGAAATCTGGTTTAACTGAGAAAATCACGCTGGCTAGTGGCGATGCATTTGGTGTGATAGTCCCATGTTGCCTGTGGTAAATCGTTCATGTTTTAACTGACACCATAAAAGCTACCAATACTTTCCCTTGTGCGGTTTCTCAGCCTTGTAAGGCTCATGGTGCTCTTGAGTAGTGTCTTAACACAGGGTTTGGCGCAGCTGTGTCTGCTGTAAGGGTCTCTGCTTGCTTCAGCCTGTCTGGAAAAAGTGGAGGGGCCTTGTAAGACATGAGGGATGTGGAGCCTGTGGAGGATGGTATGGCATAGGAAGGAGCAGCTGGTGGATCATGGAGAAGTTTCATGGGAAGTACTGCGGCTAACTCTGTTCAGGATCCATGTGGCGACTGTGAATCCCTGTGGGCACTGTGTTTTAAATCAGCCACGACTTCAGGGATTAAACTTGGGGCATCCCATTCTTGCTGTGCACCAGGCAGGCAGCTCTAGCTTTGCTCTTTGGGGCCCTGGCTGAATTACCATGGCATCCTGGTGGGTAACAGGCTGGCTAGCATTGCCTTGCTCTTCCAGTAGAGAAGATTTGCCCGTTGCCACCTGGAGGCGCAAGAACAGCAAGTCCTCACGCCAGCAATCCCTGGCACCTACAGATGTTGAGATATTTCAAAACAAAATAACCCCTCGTGCAAGTCTTTGGCTGGTGAAGTTGAAGATTTTAAAAGCTTCCCTTACACCGAGGATTTACCAGAGTTAGGATTTGCAAGTCATGCAAACAATATACAGTGGGAGACGTTTTGCATTATAACTGTGGTTTGGCTGAGTGCGCTAACCGATACCTGTATTGGCCAGTGTTGCCATAACTTAGTTTAAAATAAGCCTCCTACGTGCTGCAGCAGGGGGGAAGTGACACAGGAGGAGAGTCCTGAGCGCTCCGTGGGGCAAGATGCATGTGGAGTAAACATGAAGGATCTCATGGAGACACAGATAATCTGCCAGGAGGGCTGAGCTGCCAGTTTTCTTGAAGGAACGGCTCCTCCGCTCCTGGGCGAGCAGATGTGCAGCAGTGGCATCTCTCGGCAGCTGGATGTGTGGTTTTACAGGCTGAATGAAAGATAATGTGACATGTGGCCGGGACCTACAAATTAGATAATGCTGATGGTGAACATGAACTCAATTGCAGATGTAATTCTGCCTTTGGAGAGAATTGATGCAGAGCAAGAAAGATCAGTAAAACCTCCACAATAAGCAGTCCTAAACATGCAAGTATTCAAGTTTTTGTTAGACTCTTTGGCTTGTGAATGCCAGAGCTGGGGACCGGGTTAGTTGCAAAGTTGTGTTTTTAACAGGGATTTAGCTGTGCAAGTCCTTAGCTGGCTCTGCAAACTACAACTTGTGTTCCTCTGTGGTCAGTCTCAGCCTCTTGCGTTCAGACATAGCAGCTGATCTGCTGCTCAAAGTAATCTCGGTGTTTTTAATCTCACTGGGTACGTAGCAAGGATACGGAAGTGTCTACTGAGTTGATAAAGCTCCCAAATGGCTTAATCTAGTCTTTATGCTACCTCTACCTTCTAAGAGTAGCTGTTGACTCTCTTGCATGTCCCAGCGTGGCAAATATCAGCGATTGAGGTTTTGCGGAGACTAACTGAAGTCCAGGTAAGATTTCCTGCTGTCGCCCATAAATGAGGGTGCTGCCTCTCTATGGACATCCTTAAATTGATAGCTGGTGGTTTAGGAGTATAGATTTTCCTAATCTGGCCCAAATGCATGAACTTCCCAGAAGCTTCCTCAGGAGAGTTCTGATTAGGTGGTGGTTGTGTAGTTAAAACCTCTTGGTTGGCCTGCCCAGAGCAGACAGCAAACCTAGCAAGGGGTTAATCTGTCTCAGATAGAAGTCTTTCAGCATGCATGTCTTAATTGTGGAGTGAGGCAACTGGTGTGTTTATTTTCAAAGGACTGTGCAGGTAGGTTCGAATCTAGGCATGCAGCAGGCTGTCTGAACATGCTCTTTGAGAGAGCATCGTTAGGAAAAATGGCTCAAATGCAACTAACATGTCCCTTGCATCCTTTCGTTTCCTCTGTCCGTAGGAATGCATCCTCTCTGGGATCATGTCAGTGAATGGAAAGAAGGTCCTTCACATGGATCGTAACTCTTACTATGGAGGGGAAAGCGCATCTATTACACCCCTGGAGGATGTAAGTATGGAGGCTGACACCCGCCTATTGTGTCCTCCCCAGGCTCATAAAGGGGGCTTTATTTCGAGCTATCCTAGGGGTGGATTCGAAGTAATTACTCCTAAGGGTTTCCTTTGAATAAGAATGTTTTATGGCACTTCCACACCAGATAATAGTGGGGGAGAAAACAGTGTGTATGTTTATACTTGGTAGATAGCACTTGTTTTCTGTAGTTCCCAGCTGAGATTCAAGCGTGCAGCACTTGAGCGATCATTCGGAGGTATAACGCCCGACAGCTTGATGTTAAAACTTCAGCTAAATTGCTACTGCCACGCTTGCTGGCAAACGTTGGCCTAAGAAATGCTGTGTGCTCTTTGTGCCCTGATGTTACACTTGGTCCTTGGTCTGTGAGCTAGATAGGTCACTTGGTCACTTCCAGCTAGATAGGTGCCATCTCATTTGGTTACTGCTTGCACCCTGTGATTCTGTACCCCTAAAGCTGTTGTGGTGGCTGACGAATCAGATGTCAGGAAATCATTGCTCTCCTTGCCGCTTAACTGGGTTAAATATTTATATTGGGGAATATGATTTAAGTATATGAAGGAGCCTGCCCTCTCCTGAAGTAGGCACTTTGATCAGATTGCCTTTAGCTATGTTAAGCGGTATTTCGGTTCAGCAGGTCATAAATTCCCAAGCTTTAAGCCTTGGAGGAAGAAAGACTGGATGAGCAGAATAACGCTGCCTGATTCTTACTGTAAGAATTTACTGGATGTGCATTGTGTATTGCATCAAAAATCAAACTGGAGCTAAAAAGCTGGCCAAAAGCTTGCTGTGAAGAGCTTATGTTCAGCTGGGGAGATGTGGGGGTGGAAAGTGTGTACATGTGTGGGAGAAATTATACCCATAGATATTTCCTCTGCTATAAAAAGTTTTGTATTCTCTCCGAAGCTCTACAAAAGGTTTAATCTACCAGGAACTCCACCAGAATCTATGGGGCGAGGAAGAGACTGGAATGTGGACCTAATTCCAAAATTCCTTATGGCTAACGGTAAGCGATACAGAGCTCCCAAATCTGCCTCGTGAGCTTAGCCTGGGCTAGTGTTCAGTGCTGTAATCGAATAAACAGCCCTTCAGCCATGTCTCCATGAACTTGTTGAAGCATTAATCAAAGAGCTGTGGAAAGCTCTCTCGAGCTGATCTGCATGCCTTTATGCCAGAAGCACCACGGCTTCTGCTCCGTGACTAGTTTTGGCTGTGGGCATATCAAACACAGGAGATGGCTCCAGCTTGGAGTGTGCAGCAGTGGCACATCTGGAAGGTTTGAACGTCTGTTTTCCAACATCCTCTCTTAACGTGTTTGCATTTCTAGCCAAAGTTAATGCCATTAATTCATGCGTTGTTATTCTTCCATGGCTTAGGAAGAAACGGTTGATTCCATGGCGACTGTCAATTCCTTTTGTTCCTATTTTATGGCTTGCAGACTCTGTTGTCCCTTACCAATGCTACAAATCCTCATTCTTTAATCTATGTGTTCCAGTACTGGGACAGGTCTTCTAGACCAAATCCAGTATTGGTGAAGTGGTTATCAATGCAACCAAGTTCAGGGGCAACTCCCTTTGCCAAATACCAACCGCTTGCTACTGGAATCTCTTGTCCCTGAAGCATGAGGGATGTGCTTAGATGTATTGTGTAGGGCCAGTCTTGCTCAAGGCTAGTGCAGTGGAAGACTTGATAGATTCCAGTCAAGGTTACTCTTGGTTACTCTAGTCTCAGCTTACTTTCAGTTTGCACAGGCATTGTGGTGCATTTCTAAGGGACAGCATCCCTCTGGGGATGTGACAGTGGATGGGGACAGGTAAGCGGGCATATGGTGACGCTAGCTGCTCGCAGGCCAGGGGCTAATTTGCGGTAAGTTGGCTGGACAACTAATATGCAGGCTGTGCTAGATCTTGAATAGCGAGGATGAGGAGCTGCTGCCGTCCAAAGACATGACCTTGTTTGTCATGTTGAGTGTGAATGAACTACAGGGAGCAAAGAGCAGCAGTGTTCTGCAGCAGATTAACATGCTGCAGGATGGCTTTTACTCAGAGGACTGATGGAAACCACAGGACTGAAAAGGAAGCTGTTAATTGCCTGTGAGCGAGCCTTGAAACTGCCTCATAATGCACTAGTGAGTATCTGCCACACCCCGTATGTTCCACAAAGGTGTAAGGGCTGTGTGGGTTGAACGTGGTGCTGCTGTTGAAGGGTTTGCTGTGTTGGAAGAACTGTCTGTCTTGTGAGAAGCACTGTCCTCATGGCTTCTGGCTACAGACCAGCTGGTTGACTTGTGCGAAACCTCCTTTCCAGGTCAGTTGGTAAAGATGCTGCTCTACACAGAAGTCACTCGCTACTTAGACTTCAAGGTGATTGAGGGGAGCTTCGTCTACAAGGGAGGAAAGATCTACAAAGTTCCTTCCACTGAGGCGGAAGCCTTGGCATCCAGTAAGTAGTTACACCTTGCTTTGTTTCCTCCTGAGGCTACCATCTCTAAACAAAGGCACGACAGGTCTCTGCCACCCACATTTCAGGATATTCTGTGCTCATGTAGGAAAGAAATCTTGATGCTTCTCACATCGTGCTGTGTGTAGACTCCACCTTGGTAACAAGCTGTGCTTAGCATAGGATTTTTCTGCATCTTATTTGACTTAAAACACCACTTGCAGTGTGAGTCTTGGGCTTCCTGAGCCTTGAGTTACTGTCTTCTTGGAGCTTTCAAATGGAGCCGGTCAAGCTGCCTGTTCTATGGCTCACCTGGTGAGAATTTGGCAGTATTTTACTTCCTTGAGAGGTTACGTTTGGGGCTTATGCTCCCAGCTCTGCCATAAATATTTTCATTTCGGGTCCTTATCGCATGGAATCGTGTGTGTGAAAAATGTTGCCAGGTTTGTCAGCAGGCAAATTGGAATGACTAATTCTGACATGTGGCACCTAGCTCAAATCTTAATTGTTGTCTACTTAAATTTCACTCTTCAGATAAAACTACCGACCATTCGTAATTGTGTAGTGAAATACATTAGGAGGTATCAGAGGGCAGTCCATTAGCTTCAGATGCAGGATGTATTTAGTAGCATCTCTGACGAGTCTCGTGATAAAGTGACTCCTGCAAATAAGTATGTAGCTTGTCTGTACATTGGAGCCTTCCTCATGGCAGATATTCCTGTTTGCTGTGAAGTAATCGGCCGTTCCTTCAATTTGGCCATGTGCTGTCTTGTAAGTGGTCTCGTGCTTAAGAGACTCGTACTGGCAGAAGTAGGAGGTGCCTTTGGTGCCGTCTCTGCCTTCATGTTTCAGCAAGTCCAGTCTTGCTTCTCCAATTTGTAGAAAATTAAAACACATAAATAGTGCCTTGTCCAATCTCGCGTTTGAAGTTTTGATGCTCGCAGCGCTTGCTTGTTCCTTGGCGATGCTGCAGGAGAGCCTGGTGCTTGCTTTGTTGGAGCTTTCATCACCACACTTTGATGTTAAGTCTGGTAGTTGCCAAGCACAGGTCCCTGCTTAGGGAAGCTCAGGTTGGGCTTTACACCAGGCCAAGTGGAAACTGCTCTCCAAGCTTTCCCCCAGCTGGGAGTAGTGTGTAGCATCTCAGCCTCCAGCCATGCCTTGAAAAAAGTTGGCCATACCACCTCTTGAGGTCTGGTACACCAGGAGAGCTGTCAGTGCAGACTGGTCTGGCAGATGCAGATGTTTGTCTCCTGCTTGAACAGAGAGCCTTGGTTAGCCCTCAAGGGCAAACTCCAGGTTATGGAGTGATGTTTGAAACACTCAGCTGTTCTTGCCTGCTTCTTGATACTCTGTGGCAATGGAAAAGCCATTTAGTAGCGATGTGAGTTCTGACAAAACACCTTGTTTTTAGGCTTAATGGGCTTGTTCGAGAAACGCAGGTTCAGGAAATTCCTAGTGTACGTTGCCAACTTTGATGAGAACGACCCGCGAACTTTCGAAGGTGTTGATCCCAAGAAGACCACCATGCGTGACGTGTATAAGAAGTTTGACCTGGGGCAAGATGTTATAGACTTCACTGGCCATGCCCTCGCGCTCTACAGGACTGACGAGTAAGTGTGGGTTCAGTTGCTCCCCCAAATCAGCTGGGGTGCTGGGTGCTTACAGGGCAGGCTTTGTGATTTGAGGGTAGGATGTATTGCAAAGTGTCTCTGTCCCTGGGTGCTGCATGAATCTTAAAATACTGGGTCCTCTGCTGATGGGATATTTAAACTTTGTGGGTTCCTGGGGTTAATGAAACATCTCCTTCCTGAATGAAACCCCTTGTGACACTAAGTGCTTCTAAAAGGGAACTTCCAGGGAAATACTTGCCAGAAGCTGCTGGAGCGTGGGGAAGGAAACTTCACAGGAAGTAAATGTTTTGCTCTCTGAGTGTATTCTGCTGTAAGTCTTGGTTTGTGAAACATTGCAAATCATTTAACTGCCCTCTCCAGCTATCTAGATCAACCATGCCAAGAAACAATCAACAGGATTAAGCTCTACAGCGAGTCGCTGGCCAGATATGGTAAAAGCCCGTACCTTTATCCCCTCTATGGCCTTGGAGAGCTGCCCCAGGGATTTGCAAGGTGAGAACTTGGTTTTGGACTCCGGTGTTTTCTCAACCCTACTCTGGCACCTGGTGGGGGATCAGATGTGTGGAGTCAGTGGTCAGGCTTCCAGAACATGACGCCGCTTAAAAATACTGCGGTCGTTAATGGTTCTCTCGCTGTCTTAATCAAGAAGCAATTCCTCCATGTGAGGTTGCTTCTTTCCGGGCTTGTTTACTGCGATTGCCGTTAGTGGTGATAGTTCTGGGTTTGCTCAGAGATGCTGTTTGCAGCATCTTATCTATCCAAGAAGTTGGATTTGCCTACGTGGTGTAGCCTGCAGCTCTTGCACTGTAAGACTGTCTGGGTTGCACCAAGCAGATTCTTCTAGCTGGATGTAATTTTGCCTACAACTTGCTCAAAATACCAGCTGATGCCTTGCCGAAAGAACAGCAGACAGCATCTGCTGCATAGATGTTTAAGCAGCGTATTTTGAAGCAGTTTGTCTAGTGAGTGGTTTGTCCAAGTGGAACAGAAACAAGGGGCTGGAAGGGCCGTTAAAAACCAAACGTGCACCTGTGGAACATGCTGAAGTGGCTTTACTCTTGCAGGCTAAGTGCTATATATGGAGGCACCTACATGCTGAACAAGCCCATTGAAGAGATTGTGATAGAAAATGGCAAAGTGGTTGGTGTGAAGTCTGAAGGGGAGGTACGGTACCTTCCAGTCCTTTCCTTACTCCCCACCCCTCATCTTGCCTCTCAAAATTGAGGCTGTTGTTCATCGATCTGAACAAATGCAGTGCGAAAACCCTTATCAGAGCCCTAGGACCAAAACTGCTTGGCCAGTGCTGTTTTTTCCCCTGTGCCAACTTCCTTAAGACGTGTTGATGTTTTCATGGTGAGCAGTGCAGTACAGTAGTCCTACTCCGGGAGTTGGAATGAAGTCTCTGTGGGCTGGCAAGGTTGTCTTCTGAATAAATCAGGCTGGCTAAACTGGAAAGGAGCTGCCTGCTTGTGTCTAACCTGGGTATGAAACCAGCTCTGCCCTTGACATTAAGTATTAGCCGCTGAGACAGCTGGCACGCAGCCTTTCTGCAGCTTCTTCTCAACCTGGCAATAGAAGGCTAGCGAGAGTGCTGCGAGCTGCTTAGAAGCTATAAATGTGCTCCCAACTGGAGTGGGAGCTTCGCAGGACAGTTTAGCGCTTGCTGGTAGGGTAACGTGTCCCTTCTGGGGAGGGGTGACGTGTCCTGGCTAGCAGTGGGGGTGATAATCCGTGCTATAGACTGACATGCCCAAGTGCAGGGGGCCTGGAGGCTTCAAATTGGTCAAATATTAAACTATTACTGTAAAAATGAGTTGTAATGCAAACTGGTCCATCCTTATCTGTTTGGTTCAGCCTTAGCTGTGGCAAGTTATAGTCCTAGGCTGGAAGGACTGGGCTCTGTAGGGGTTAAAGTGTAGCTGCACACTGAATGACAAGGGGAAGATGTGATCATGCAGCTATACGTAGCCTTTTAAGAGTAATTCACTGAGATTTGGATTGCCCAAGTTGAAGCTTGCTGCTGGCAGCAAAATAAGAACCTGATGCAGGAACAGCCACCTCAAACCACTCTTGGTTTTCCTCAAAATCAGCCAGTTCCTCGCCTGTGTCTGTCTGTGTACACACCTCCGCGCAGTGGTCACTCAAGGTCCGTCTGTCTCTGCAGGTTGCTCGCTGCAAACAGCTCATCTGCGACCCCAGCTATGTCTCGGACCGCGTAACAAAGGTCGGCCAAGTGATTCGGGTAATCTGCATCTTGAGCCACCCGATCAAGAATACAAACGATGCCAACTCGTGCCAGATCATCATTCCACAGAATCAGGTCAACCGAAAATCAGGTGCGTGGAGAGCGGGGACTGCCGGGGCGCACGCGGGTCTCGTCGCTCTTGCGTTTTGAGGCAGGGTGGTCGTTAAGTGGCCTCACACCAAACACATTCTCCGATGGCCCGGGGAGATGCGAATCAAACGGGAAATGCTCCTGTGGCAGACTTCACGTCCAGAAATCCTTCAGGCCCCAGTGAGGCCATGCTTTAGTTTAGAGCAGCGGTGGGGGACGTGGGAGAAGCTGGGGTGCCTGTGGTCAGAAAGCCGTGTGAGGAACCCGCCGAAGGAAGTGCCCCAACCTGGGAGAAGTGGGTGAGGAGCACGGGGCTGCTCTGGGAGGGGGAGGCGAGGGCTGCGTGCAGTGGGGGGAAATGCTTCCTTGTCCTTGAACAGAGGGGTGGGCTGGCTGCTGGGGACCCCGCTGGCTTTCAGGAGCCATCAAAGCCACAGGAAACTGAATTTTGGAGATCTCGCAGGGCTGCTTGTGTCCAGGCCCCTCAGCCAGGAGACTGAGAGCACGTAGGACCGCAGGGCAAGGATGGAACTCGTTCAGGCATGGTCTTAAGAGGAGGTACAAAGTGTTGGGGAGCAGGAAAAGGCACGTGAGCGTGCAAGCTAGAGGAAGGTTTTGGGACAAGGCAGGCCTGACCCGGGCCGTTGGCCTGCCTGGCGCATACTGACGTGTTGCCGCGATGTGCTTCCCCAGATATCTACGTCTGCATGATCTCCTCTGCGCACAACGTGGCAGCGCAGGGGAAGTACATCGCTATTGCCAGCACTACTGTGGAAACCGCGGACCCAGAGAAGGAAATCAAGCCGGCCTTGGACCTCTTGGAGCCCATTGAGCAGAAGTAAGCCCTTGACGAGCCCCCCTCTCTCGCCCGTCTGCTGCGAGCGCTTGTGCCTGAGGCATGAAGGCAGCGGGGATCTGAAGGCCGTTTGGCTGCGAAGTGGTGTTGAAACTCTGAATTTCCTCTGCACCTTGACTGCTTACACACTGGGCAGAGTGATGCCCCTTAATTCAGCTGTTCTTGCACCAATACTGATGCTCGGTGATGCTCTAAAACCATTCTGAAGCTCTTTTTCCTCCTTGCAGGTTCGTTAGCATCAGTGACCTGTTTGCACCGACTGACTTGGGAACCGAAAGCCAGGTTAGTAAGCACCGAGCTCGTGTTTGAGGGGGTGAGGGGAGAGGCTCGATGCTAAACGGCCGCTTCTCTTTCCAGATCTTCATTTCTCGCACCTATGACGCCACCACTCACTTTGAGACGACGTGCGATGACATCAAAGATATTTATAAGAGGATGATGGGATCAGAGTTTGACTTCGAAGAGATGAAACGCAAGAAAAATGATATCTATGGGGAGGAGGAGCAGCAGTAATGAGAATCTCTAATTAGGAGAAATTTAAATCGGCTAATATGAATATATAAGGAACTTAATGAACACTGTACGAAATTCAATATTGTAAGGCCTGCTTTTGTAATCCCATCTCTGAGAGATTGAAGAGTACTGCACTGGTAATGTTCCCCTTTTGGATATCATGTGTTAATTATTTCATTCTAGTAGGGCTGCTGTCCAGAATCTGGCAAATTACTGACTGATTTAATGACTAACCTCGTAAGCGAAAGGCAGACTGAACTTTATTTTTTTTCTTTTTGCAGACGTAGACGTTGGTGCAGATTTGAAATAACTCATTGACAGCTGTGTCTTACCTTGTATTTTTAATCATTTGTAAACATCCTTCACAATTATGTGCTTCTGGTGAGCTAGTAGATGTGACGGTTGTCACTCAAACCTGATTATCAAGGAAAATAGAAACTGAGCACTCCATTATTGTGGACAGCATCCCTAAAGTCTCTCCCATCAATCTAACTCTGTGGCAAGTTGTATTATGGACAAAGCCCACATCTATTGTAGCAGCAAATGTTGGCTTAGTTCTGGGCACAGAACTTAACCTCCACTTAAGCTTCTAAAACTGTTTACATCGGTTGGGACACAGCTGTGCCTAAGGCTCCTTTGTGTTTTAATCTTAATAAAATTGAGAGAACAAATTACAGAGCAGGCAAGATGTGGAAGTATTTTCTGTACCCTGGTGGCTTCTCGGATGGACCAAACGGCACTGCGGTATCGATATGACAGAGCCTGTGCTTCTCCTGTCTCCTGAAGGCTCCAAATGATTTCTGTACTGCGAAGTAAAGCCAAATTCTGGAAACCAGTCCTGTGCTCTGGTCTGATTCACTTCAGTTGTATGAGCAGCATCTCCTTTCCGAGATCCCTTGGATCTCTGCCTGCCAGGGTTGAAATGGGAGCGCTGCAGAGCATTTCCTGCTAGAAAACAGGCTCAGACTTCCTTGGTTTGGCTTCCCTGTCCCTGCTGCTCCAGCTGCTCTCAGGGCTGCTTTTGCCCGGGGAGAAGATGCTGCAGCACAAGGCCTGTCACTGTGTCTCAGGCTGCGGGTAGGCGCAAGCCTGCTCGCTCCCTGCAGCCACCCCTAGTGCCTGCATCCAGAAATAGCACTCGCTTGAAGCTGTAGTAAATAATTGTTGCTCTTAGGGCATTGAGATCTCTCTGAATAAGAGATGCTCCTCTTTGGAGTGAGCCTTATTGATCCCCTGGCTGGGATCTTGCAGCCTGAAGCAATCCTGTGGTTGGGCAGCAGGTGTACAGTGAGGAGCGGGGCTCGCCTTTATACACAGCGATGCTAAGTGCCAGGAAAAATAAGAATGTACCTTGGAACAGCCTTCTCCTGCACTTGGCCAGGTAGGGTTGCTGGTGAAGGGTTCATCCTTCCTTTCAGCCGCAGCGGTGCTGCTGCTGGTGATGAAGAGGAACTGGCTCCTTCACCACATCTCGTTCACAAAGCCGTGCTGCGCTAAATGTGGCTGCGGCTGCCCCTTGCCTTCCTCCCTTCCCGGGTTTAGGGGCTTTCGGCACTTCCTCTCTCCCGGCAGCGGTTCCAGGAACTGCTTTTCCTTTTGAAGCCCCCAGTGCCTGTAGTGCTGGAGCGAGGCACATAGCACTGGCAGGGGAAGTTCTCCCTTGCCTTGTGCTTCCTCTCTTGAGCTGTTTTGGTGCTCAATAGCAACAAGTCGAGCCTTTTTGAAGGCAAGAGGGATCGTAACACGTGGAAAATGAGGTCCTTCCTCTAAACACTTCTGTTACCCCTCTCTGCTCTAACCTGGTTATTCCTCTGGCTCTTGTTACCCCTCTCCTGCTGGGAAGGAGGCAGGGGGCAAGCCTGCAGCCCTGAGGCTCCATGGGCCCACCACCACCTTTAGAGCCAAGCAGTCTTGCTCACTCTTTCCTTCTGGCATGGGCTTCAAAGCTCTGGGGGTCATAATTCAGAACAAAGCTGACTTCTGAGCTACGTGTGAGCTGGGAAAGCTGCTGTCCTCCACACCTGCTGAGGGAAACCCCTTTCCAGAGGGCAGCGGGCTGTGAAAGTTCATTTTTAGGTTTTTATTAATGAAACACCGTACAAAGTCATCCTGTACATAATGTTCTTGCATTCTTTTATTAAAAAAAAAAAAAAAGGACACCCTTGTCCTCCACAGCAATAGGTAGGGTATCTTACAAAGGTCTTTAATGCGGCATTTTCTTCCAGGCGCGTGTTTGTCTGAGCTACCATAAATAAGAGCTTTTTTGTTCCTGGGTCCTGTCGTCTGGCTATTTACAAGAAAGACTTCCACGTGCTGGAATGCACTCAAGTCCCAGCAGTTAAATGGTACCAAGAGGCAACGGGGCGACTTGAAACGTAGTGTGGAGCAGACTGCTACAGGCTCAGTGACACTCAGGCGGTGGTCCTGAACACCCATTTAAAATGGACACCCACCCCAGTGGCTAACACGGGCGTCTTGCGTACAGTATGTACAGCAACAGCCATGTAGAAAATGCTTTTATTATTGTGGACTCGTATCGCCCCTAACTTTCAAGTAAAAGGCTTTTTTTTTTTTTAATTTTATTTTCCTATTTCTTCCAATGTCAGCTGCACTAATAGCTTGAAAACACTCCAATAATTTAAAACTGTGTAATGTTAAAATAACCTCTGTCCTATATGCAACTTGATGGCAGGGAGTGAATCCCCGGGAGGATTTGCATTAGCCATCTTTAAATAATTTCTATATACAGAACTAGAACCAACCTTCCCCCATCACCTCTCTGCCCACGGCTCCTGTGTGCAGCACCCCAAACCCAACGGGGTGCAGGGGCTGTCCCGCAGAGGATGAGGATGCCTAAACCGGCCCCGCAGGGTCTGGGGAGGAGCCGTGCCGCGGCTTCGCTTCATCACCTGCAACACAGAGACGTGGCACAGGTTATTGCTCTGCTCCCCTCCATGCTCCAGGCAGTGCCGGCCTCTTGCAGAGCTTTCCCAGAACAAGTGCCGGCGCAATTGCCAGTGCCAGCTCTGCTGAGCATGGGCTGTCCCAGCTACGGCTTCGGGATTCGTCCCCGAGTGTTGGCAGAGCCAGAGCAGATCCTGTAGCCGGCACCTGGGGAAGGTCCCTGCTCTGCTGTGGGAGCAGCTGGACCCCACTTCCCTGCCTGCCACCCCACAGACAACCCTGGAGCTGCTCCCAGCCTTTTGGGGGAGAAGCGGTCAATCCTAAACTCCCCCCCCTTACCAGTAGCTTCTTCTAAATGGGGCAGCTGCTTTCTGCACCGTCCCAAGGAAAGCATTGATGTCGGCCACGAGGATTCCTTTGCTTTCGAGGACCTCCCTGCTAACGCTGGGCTTTTCTGCAAAGGAAGGAGCAGCACCATAGTTCAAACAAGCAAATGAGGTTGTTCTGAAACCCGTAGAAAATATCCCCAAATCCCACTGCAGTTACTCTGTTTTGCAAATGCGAGCAGATTAACAGCGCCACTTTGCAACCAGCCTCAGCCCAGCGAGGCCAGAATTAGAGTGTGACATAAAGACAGCCACAGGCTCAAAAAACTGCCAGATTTTAGCAGACCTCCAAAAGTCTGTTCATTTTGCCTTTTACTGCACTGATTGCAATGAATCAGTTCACACCTAACCTGCACCTCAAATAAATGATTCTAGCAGAAACAGGAGGCAAATGGGGTGTTTCTTGTCCCTCCTCCGCCGCCTCCCAGGCCAATTTAAGACCATGCTCATGGGGATCAAGGGCAGCGCCCAGAGCCCGTCCTTACCTGTGAGATACACGGCGAACCTGGCGCTGACGTGCTGAACCTGCAGGTTCAACAAGCACTTGATGTACTCAGATTTGGGGGGCAACCCGGAGTCACAGGCGTGGTAGTGCAGCACCTCAATGAGATCGGCTCCTTGGCACGATTTGAGGATCAAGTGCTTCTTGCGGGCGTTGGCGTCGACCCTGCTGGGAGAGGGGTAAGGTGAAGGGATGAGGGGCTTCCCCCCCTCTTCTCCCCTCCCAGGGAATAAGCAGGTATGATGGGACCTGCCTTTCCCCCATGTGTTTTTCTTCCAGCCTCATGGGCACTTTTACGCTTGCTATGCTGTGCTAAATGGAAATGGCAGGAGCATCACTGTACGGATCACACATGCAGCCAGAAAACAAAATGACCCCTTGCTCCAGGCAGCTCGGACAGACGGGGTGTGCTGGTTTGGGCTGGGACAGAGTGAATTTTCTTCCCAATAGCTGGTATGGGGCTGTGTTTTGGGTTTGTGCTGGAAACAGTATTGATAACACAGGGATGTTTTCGTTACTGCTGAGAGCAGGGCTTACCCAGAGCCAAGGGCTTTTCTGCTTCTTACCCCACCCCACCAGTGAGGAGGCTGGGGGGGCACAAGGAGTTGGGAAGGGGCACAGCTGGGACAGCTGGTCCCAACTGACCCAAGGGATATTCCAGACCGTATGGTGTCACGCTCAGCATATAAAGCTGGGGGAAGAAGGAAGGGGGGACGTTCAGAGTGATGGCGTTTGTCTTCCCAAGTCTCTGTCAGGTGTGATGGAGCCCTGCTTTCCTGGAGATGGCTGAACACCTGCCTGCCCATGGGAAGTGGGGAATGAATTCCTCGGTTTGCTTTGCTGGCACACGCGGCTTTTGCTTTACCAATTAAACTGTCTTTATCTCAACCCAGAGTTGTCTCACTTTCACCCTTCTGATTCTCTCCCCCATCCCACCGGGGGGGAGTGAGTGAGTGGCTGCGTGGGGCTGAGTTGCCGGCTGGGGTTAAACCATGACACCGGGGCTCATGATCCCACCACCATGGAGTCAAGAGATGCTACAGGAGCACCAGTGACGGAGCACAAGGAAAACACTTGCTCCACAGCAGCATCTGCTGATGAGGCTGAGTCCTCATCTCACAGAGTACAATGAAATACCCGACCGCGAGCTTCTGCAACACCTCACTGCTTGAGGACTGAAAACCACATCTTCAGAACGATTACCCTGTGCTATCACCATAAAGGCTGAGCATGGAGAGGATCTGAGATCTCTCCCCATTTGTTGTAGCATTTTATGCTCAGACAGAACAGACCAGTTTCCTCTCTGTTCACAGGTCATTACTAGAAAGCCATCCTTTCTGGTCCGTGGTCTGGCACTAACAAAGGCAGCCTGCCTGATAAAAACCCTCCTCGCTGAGCTCAAACGTGATAAAAGCAGGACATTTCAATGGAAAGTAATTGCCATCTTACTTCTCTTTTTCAAATTGCATCATTTAAATACACATTGTTGCAAATAACCTAAAATAAGTGGCAAATAGCAGCATAAGTTCTGCTTTTCCCAGCAGAGTTTGATTTTACGCACTCCCACAACACACCGGATCCTCTCCACATTACAAACCCAGAGCTCCTCCTCACTCCCCCAAATCCCATACGTTATGGGACAGAAAAAGAAAAAGCAAAGAGACAGTAGGGCAGAGAGAGGCCCAGGAAGGTACCCCGAGCTCCCGGAGTGTGTGTGTGCAGGAGCTGGGGTGAGCTGGTAGGAAGGGAGCTCAGTTTGTGGAGGCAGCTTTCAGAGCGTGCAGCTCCTCAAACAAAATTTGTGCTTTTCCTCAAGCCCCTTGCAGGCTGTAACGCTCACAGAGGGCATCTCTGCCAAAGAGAGGGGGGAACTGCCTTATGGAGATACAGCAGGGTGCAAGAAGCAGCTGCCAGAGCTCTGCCTCATCCAGGATCACGTGCAAGACACATTATTTCAGGCCATCTGATCCTCTCCAGGTCCCATGTCCTGCTGCTCCATCTCATATAGATACCAAAAAAAAAAAAAAAAAAAAAAAAAAAAATTTAAAAAAAAAAAAAATCTATCGCACTTGCTAGCACTCAAATGCTGACCTCCAGCAATTCCAGACTTGAGGCATATGGTCTCTCACTGATAAGTTCGTATTTAAACAAAAATCTTCAAATTCATCTTATAAGAGGCCAAAACCCAACCAAAGGCACCTAACTTGCCCTGTATCCCTGCAGTGAATGGGACACCACACTCCACCACAGTGTGTACATCCTTGCTGCGGTGACGAGGACAGCAGGGATGAGGGAGGTGCCACTGCAAGCCGTTACCTGACATCTTCTCTGAGCTTCTTGCTCTCCTTGTAGTGAAGGAACCACTTCCACCTCCCACTTCTGTTCAGCTTCTCCAGCACCTTCACCACCTCTTTCAGTTGGCCTGGGGAAGACAGCAAGAGCCAGAGGGTAACTGAGGGTGGAAGGGATGCCTGGGGTTGCCCCAACATCTGCTCAAAGTTGGGCCACCTGAGGTTGGTCAGGGCTTTGTCTAGGCAAGGTTTGAATTTCTCCGAGGACGGAGACTCACGACCTGGGTTGTAAAACTGGGATCCTGTCCTAGTGTTTGAACACACTTGCTGCAAATTTTTTCCCCTGATTATCTAGAAGGGTAAGCGCAACTTGTCCCTGTCACCTCTTGTCCCATCACTGCGCACCTCCAGGAGGAATGTGGCTCAGTTTTCTCTGCCACTTCCCATTAGGGAGCTGAAGACAGCAACAAGGTCTCCCCTTTGTCCTCCCTTCTCCAGGCTGAATGTCCTTGTACAACCCCTGCTCCAGCTCCTGACCATTCTGGTGGCCCCCACCGTACTTAGACGTTTTTGGGAGCCCTGACCTGGACCCACTATCCAGATGGGGTCTACAAACGCCAAACAGAGGGAAAAAATTGGCCCCACTTAAAGCAGGAGCAGAGGACACCGATGGCAAGTTTTTGGAAGGTGTCAGCAAACCAGCGGGCAAGGCCGGGAGCCGACACTGTGTGTTTGCATCCAAGCGAGAGGCCGCAGCGAGACTCACCCAGCGTTACCGTTTCCAACACCTTGTTGTCTGACACCATGAAGCCACCAGTATGAAACAGCTCCTGGTATGTGTGACCTGTTATATCTTTGGGACTGTCCACTCCGGCGAATGCCACGTTCGGGCAGTGCTTCAGCTTCAGCAAGCATGGGACCTGCTCAAGGCAGAGATGCTTTTGCACACACAGTTGCATTTCAACAGCATTTGCACTTCTCTGCAACCCACACCCACTCCAGGCAGACCCGGGGAGCCCACCCTGTCCTCTGTCTGCACCACCCCAACACTCGTGTCTCCATAGCTCAACTCCAAAGCCGTGGGTGGTGATAAGAGGACCTATAGGCAGCTCAGTCTGCTGCAATATTCACTGGAGCCCACGAGCCAAGGCTTGGCTGAACTGCTCTGTTACATGAGATAAGCTCAGCCTGACTCCTTTGTGCTGGGCTACTCCAAGTGACATTATTCAGCAATCAAAAATGGAGACAGAAGAAAAGCAGAACTGACAGGCTTCATGTTTTTGAAATACTTGTTTTTAACAGCTCTTCATGAAGCACTGTTCCTTCAGTGGAGAGAACAGCATATCCGCAGAGACCGACAATTAAATGTGCAGCTATACATAGTGTAAAATTAAAAACACCTTTAAAATGGATCCTGATATTAAAAAAATATTGCTGGTAGAAATAAAAGAAGGGACTCAGGCCTTACGTTGTGGATGTGTGAGGAAATGTCTTCGTTCCTGATGACAACAAGCAGCCTGTCAGTATCCAGGTGTTCCGCTTCGCAGAAGCTCAGAGGTTCGATCTCCACGTGGCCATCTTTCTTCAGCAAGGTCTGAAAGAGAAATCGTGTAAGAAGGTTTGTATGGAGAGTATCTTCACAACAGCGGTGCCATACTCCCGGCACACGCGTGCCTGGGGACAAGGAGAGAAGAATGAGACAGCGACCCCAACCAGGCATCCTGGTGTCAAGGGCACCCTATGGTGTCCGTCTGTCAAAGGCACTGCGTGCTCCAGGCCAGGGCTCCCGCCAGTGGTGGAAGAAGCAGCCATTTACCTTTGTTGGCAAAAACCTTTTAGAAAACCACCTTGAGCATCTCACTGTAGCATACGTTGGGCCTCTTTGCTATTTTGGAACAGCAAATCCTCCCATGCAATCACCCTCCCTAAGTTTTCAACCCTTTAATGAGAGCTTGAGCAAAAGCCACCTTGCAGGGGTTGAGTTTGGGCTGCTCCTGCATGAGCTTAAATCTGTTTTGGCCCAGGGGATGTTCAAGTGATAGGACAAGAAGAAACAGCCTCAAGCTGCATCAGGAGAGGTTTAGGTTGGATATTAGGAAAAATTTCTTCACCAAAAGGGTTGTCAAGCATTGGAATGGTCTGCCCAGGGCACTGGTTGAGTCACCATCCCTGGAGGCATTTAATAGACATGTAGACATGGCATGTAGGGACACGGTTTACTGGTGGACTTGGCAGTGCTAAGTTAACAGTTGAACTTGATGATCTTAAGAGTCTTTTCCAACCTAAATGATTCTATGATTCTGATTTCTGGTGGCGTGAGCAGAGATGAAATGGCAGAGGCAGCTCCTGGCTTAAGGGAACCAAACTCCACCTGTGTTGGGTTGAGCAAGCTTGCCCTGCACCTGCTCCTGCTGCCCTCAGCTCTCACCCCAGGGCCACCCGTCCCCATTCAGGCCAGCGGGGCTGGCTGTTACCTTCACTCTTGCAAAGAAAGGGTCCTTGCCCGTCTCCACCAGGTAGAACATGCTGGCATGGCCGCAGGCCTCCTTGGCCACGCTGCGCAGGTGGAAACGCAGTGCGCTGTACAGGTCCTCGATCATCTCCTTGAAGGCGGCCATCCTCCCGGGGAGGGATGCGCAGGTCCACTCGCTCGTGGCCTCCCCCTGTGCCAGGACCGGCCCTCCGCCCTCGCTCCCCGCATCAGCCCTGCTCAGCATCACCCTGTTGAACTCAGCGTACTCATCAAGGATGACTGCGATGTCCCCCCGCGAGTCCTTTAGCTTATCATCGTACTTAAGTTTGCCGAGGTGGAAGGGAGCAGCGCGGCCCTGGCTTGTGGTTCGGGATCTGGCCCTGCTCCTCTCGTCGCAGAGTGTGTCCTGCCATGGGGTACACGGGTCCCCCTGCCAGCTGCTTCGCTGGTGCCAGCCGAGCCCGCTCAGCCATGTGTCTGAGGGCAGGATCGTCACCTGCAAAGGGCTCCTGCTCCGCGGGGAGAGCGGGACAGGAGCTTCTCGTACAGGCAAGGTCTCAGACATCACCTGGGGAGAAAAGTCTTGTGGAAAGATGCTTTTGGAGGTAGAAAAGGGTGGTTTCCCACTCCTTAGGATTTGTTTTAGCTTATAATGGAAACGGAGACACTCCATGTCCAAAGTGTGCTGGGTGATTTCCTCAAAACCCCTCCAAGTCCCCCTCAGTGACCTTAACAAATGCGGCTGCCCCGCGCAGTGTCTGCGCCTCTTTGAAGGCTGCAAATTTCCCATCCTCTCCTGGCACTTTTTGGTGACCACAAAGTTCCGGTAGTCCTTGGTGATCCCCTGGATGTCCCTAATATTGACATACTGTGGAATGTGCCCGCTGCTGGCTTCCCCCGGGCCGATCGGCCAGCCATGCTGAGCCCGTGAGCAGCCCCCCTCTGCGCCCAGCGAGCCCCAATCCTCGCTGCGCCCCTCCACATGCACCAAGCTCGCAGAGGAGGAGTCGCAGTTAGTCCTTGCGCTTGCAGCATCCACAGATCTGTAGGAACTCCTGGCTGTAAGCAAGGACTGTGAAGTCTCCCCAAAAGACTCCTGGTCTGAGTTACTGGAGAAAGTCTCAGATAGATCCTCGGAGGTCAAGCCCATGCATCTGTCTTTGCTGGGGAGCTGCTTTGCCCTTGGAAGCACGTCCAAAATATCCTCAGCGTCACTAAGCTCTAGGCTTTCTCCAGAGAGCCCCCTGTGTCGATGTAACGGCAACACTGGAAAGGGGAGAGTGGGGATTTCTCCCTCTCCCACCTCCACGCTGGCATGGTGCAGATCAACAAACACGTCAGCTCCCTTGGCCTCGTGCTCACCCTGGTTGCACACAGACTGGGGCTTGCATACTGGCATGAGCAACTCCCCTGCTGAAAAAGATGCAGGGCTGGCAAGAGGGATGCTGCTTCCTCCTTCTAAATCCTCATGTGGCACAGGTTCCTTCTCATGGCTCCCTACCACATCTGCTGCTTGGCCCCCAGGGCTGCCATACCCGGAGCAGGCGCCTGGTGGCAGCTGTCCCATGCAACAGGACCTTGGGGCACCATCTGGAGCCAGGCTCACGCTGGGGGAACACGTCTCCGGGTGCACGCTGAGGACTGAGTCTGGCTCGAGGTTGTGCAGACCTGCCTTGTGGTTGTGCGGAGCAGAAGGAGGCACAGATCTCGAGTTACGTGACACAAGCGCATCCACAGGGGAGCTCTTTGCTGGCTCTGCATGGCATGGACCCACGTCTTTTTTCACCTCTTCTGCACATCTGGGCTTTAAGGAGCCATCTGGGCTCTTGGCATCCACACTCACATCTGCAGCACCTACTTGCTCGCAGGGCTTCCCATGTTGGTACAGGATTGGTCCCTGCTCGCTTTGCTCTAACAAGTGTGTGTGGGGGTCTGCATCTCCGCCATGGGGGAGAGGGTCCTGCTGTGGCGGAGAAGCAGGAGCTGAGCCTCTGTGGACAGGTGGGGACAGGCTGTTTGGGGAGCTCTGCTGCTGCCTGGGGTGCTCCTTCATGGCAGACATCCCCTCTCTCACTGAGGAGGAGGGCTCTGATTTCAAGAGGTGATGAAGAGAGGTCTCTGGCTCCTGTGGTGCGTTAGCCACCATTGCTGTGTTTGCTTTGTCACTCCTGGGGGACTTCCCGGCACCGAGGCACACATCATTGCTCCCCGCAGCTTCAAAGTCACCTGTTAAGGCTGTACAGTTGAAGGCGAAGGCCTGGCCATCACCCACTCCCAAGGACTCATCCAGCACATCTGTGGGGTTGGCAGAAGGGCTGCTATGCTGTTCTTCCACCAAAACCTTGTTCCCTTCTTGGTTTGATTCACAAGGGCTCAGCGAAGTGAGGTCTGCACAAACATCACCTCCACACCTTTGGGAAAGGCAGCTGCTCTCTCCCAGGTAGCTCTGTGATGGAGACTGGATGCTTGCCATGGCCTCCTGGTCCTCTGGAGCTGTCCCAGGATCTGTTGCTCCATCAAGTGATGTGAGGCAGACAGAACTGGAGTCAGGAGACGAGGTTAGTGACAGTCCCTGGCCACACAGTGACTCGAGGCCAGCTGTGCCGGCAGCTTTGCTCCCAGCAGGCACCCACCTTTCTGCAGAGGGCGCACGATCCTTGTCTTTCTGCTCCAAGCTTTCCCCCAGCGCCTCTCTGGCAGGTCCCAAGTTGCCTGTAATGCTGTCTGGCTGTGCCCCACAGACAAGGCTGGGATCAGGTGATAACAGCAGCATCAACCCACTGTCACGGGGCGACCCCACATTGGCTGGAGTAGCTGTGTTTGCCAAACCAATGCTGTTTGTCTCTGCACTTGAGGCGGCCAGAGTCTCCCAGGGTTCTTGCAGTGTGTGCAGGCTTGGTGCCATCTCACCAGGAAGTCCTCGGGGGCCAGTCCCAGTCCCATCTGACAGCACTGGTGTTGATCTGCCTGGGCAGGAGGATGCTAAGGCAGTGGGGCTGGGCACAGGGCCCTCTCCAGGAACGTCAAAGTCCTTCAGACATGCCAAATTCACTCGCTTCTGCTCGCTGAGTTCACGCTCTATGTCAGCATCACTGCTTTCAGAAAATACTAAATCAATAGGCCCCAGGACTGTGCTTTCATACTCAGAGTCCTCTTTCTCTTTTTTTCCCTCCTCCACTTCTTCCTCCTCTTTTTCTGGATGTCCAAAGGTGTCTTGTGATTCCCTGCCTTCCTCACTGGCTCCATCCAGCTTTGCACTTTTGGGACTCGCTTCTAAGGACATTGAATCACAGGCACATTCCAGTCCGTTGCTGGTGGCCCAGCTGCCATCCTCAACCTCCATACAGTGCCCAGCATCTTCCATGCCCTCTCCATCCTTGGGAGGGCCAGGGCCACCTCCTGACCCTGCTGCCCACGTGCTCTCCTGCTGCTCTCCACGTCCATGCAGCGTGCACAGGGCATCATTCCAGGGAGCCATACTGGAATTTGGGGCTTGGCTGCATGCGTTTTCCTTGCTCGGTGCAGCTGGAGGCTTGCTGGCATTGCCAAGCTCATCGGAAGGGCTGGGGGTCATCATAGCGTCCAGCAGTCCCTCCCTGGGTGGCTCCTTCTGAAACAGCACAATTCAGAGGTTAATCATCAAGGGAGGCAAATGCAAGAGCCAAGACACCCGTGCAGGAGGACATGGATATTTTAAATGCTCAAACTTTACAAGTACAACCACTCCAACAGCATCTGAGGACATTAGTTTGAGTTGGTCTCTAAAATAAGTCCAGGTTGAATCCTTATCCCATGTAAGCCACTACCATCCCCACCTCAGCCAGCAAGCAGAGTGCTGCAGACAGCCAGGGAAAGCTTTTGAAACTTTCCACCTTCTTGACACCATGAAATGGCTTAAAAATAGGCCAAACCATGCAGGGGCAATCAGCCAGTGCCCAAAGGTAATGTATGTAACAGCATCCTCTTACCTCTGCTGAGTTTATCTGTTCAAGCAAGCTGTATGGACACTATGCACAGTGATCCCACATTTCCCCCCAAAACACTTCTGCCTGCTTCACAGCACTAAACCCAGGAGGTAAAAAACACTGGGATATTTTTTCCTGCAAAACAGTTGCAGCCCTATGGCAGCTGCCCATTTGTTCAGAGTGGAAGTTTTAAAGGAATTATTTTAGTTCAAGAATTCATTCTTAAAAAATGTCAGCAGACACCCACGTTTTATATTTACCCAAGTACCTCCACTCCTGACCATCTGCAGACCATAGAAACTGTAAATTTTAATTTTAAAAACCCTGCCCAGAATGGAATATTAACTAACTTCACCAGAGGGGCAAGGGAAATGCTGCAAAGCACTGCACTGCCATCTGTGTGGGGGAAACCTCTCCAAGCCAGCAAACCTCAGTGCTCCCAAACCAGCAGACGAAAGGCTGTGCTGTGTCCCCTGACATGTCTGGGCTGCTGTGACCATGGGCAGGCAAATGCAGCTGCCCACAGGAGACAGGCAGGCTTTCAAGTTCTGGTCTGGGGGGTTTGTGGTTCCTCTCCTCTCTCAGTTAAGCGCAGGTCTGAGACCCTGTCCGAGCTCACACAGCTCGCAGCTGAAATGAGGAACAGACACCAAGCTCAAAACTTTAATTGCTCTAGTTCTTTGGGATTCCTCCCCCTTGGATAGCATCCATGTTGAGGCCCCGGGCCCCTGGACACAGATAGATACAGCTCGTGCCAGAGCCTGGGGATGCCAGCTCACTCCAAGAAGATATCCAAACCCAGACTGAGGCCTGAAAGCTTCTTGTTTTATGGTGACTGAACACATCTGCGTGGTGGTCATTTGGGGCAGCTAAATGCTGGGAGATGTTTCTCTGTCCTGCTTTGGGAACCCCCACTACCTAGCTCTAAGAAAGCCCCCAACCACATCTGCTCCACTCCTCTGAGAAGACCCTACTCCTATAAACGTAAAATGCATTTTGTGCCCTATAGACTCATATCACCCAAACCCCAAGCTCTTACCGCAGCGATGGTCGAGACATCACGCACACACTGCTCAGGAATGACTGCCAGCTGCCTGTCTTTCACAGCCAGGCTCTCATCGGCATGTTCAATGAGGGAAAGGCTCTCGGGACAGCTTGTGGAGGAAGGCTCCTCCTCCCCACAGGGCAGCTCCACTGAAGAAGACGATACTGTGCTATCGACAACACCAGGAGTCCCGTCATCATCAGTCTGAGAGTCTGCAGGGCTCTCTTCTGGGCAGAAACATCCCTGGCAACATGTGCTGCGATCCAGAGAGCTGCTGGGAGTCTGGTCAGGGTCTGACCGAGAGTCTGCAGGGCATGTCTCCAACCCAAAACAGTCCTCACCATCATCACTCAGCTCAAGAAAGTCCCCACTGCTGTTTATTGAGACATACTTCTCGGGGTTGCTGTGCTCTACCACCTTCCTCGTGCTGCTCAGGAGTTTGCTGGGTTTGCTGTAGAAGAGAGCCACCCACATATGAAGGATCAGCTTCATCTCTTCCACATCATCGGGCAGATCGGGGTCCCAGGGCCTGGAAGGGAAAGCAAACACAGCCTGAAATGTCTTCATCCTCCCCTCCAGTTGACTAGCACAAGGTAACTCATCTCCTCGTTCCCCATGGCACTAAGCCCCAATGCAGCGGGGCTGCAAATGCCCAGCTGCAGACACAGATCACTTGATGCAGTTTCCAGCTTGTTGAAAAAAAAAGAGAAGCTCATGACTGCAAAGGAGGACTCTTGTTTATGGCTCTATGTACCAATTCTAGCTGCAGAGCCATGGGAATCATAGAATGGTTTGGCTCACAAGGGACCTTTAAAGACCATCTAGTCCAGTCCCCCCTGCCATGGGGGAAGATGCCAGGGACACCTTCCACTAGACCAGGTTGCTCAAAACCCCCTCCAATCTGACCTTGATCACTTCCATTGATGGGGCACCCACAGCTTCTCTGGGCAACCTGTTCCAGTGCCTCGTCACTGTAAAAGATTTCTTCCTTATGTCCCAACCAAACTTACGCTCTCTCAGTTTAAAACCATTGCCCTTTGTCCTGTCACTACACGCCTTGGTAAAAAGTCTTTCTCTGTCTTTCCTATAAGCCCCCTTTATGTATCAAAAGGCTGCAATAAGGTCTCCCCGGAGCCTTCTCTTCTCCAGGCTGAACCACCCCAACTCTCTCAGCCTGTCCTTATAGGAGGGGTGCTCCAGCCCCATGATCTTCATGGCCCTCCTCTGGACCTGCTCCAACAGGTCCATGTCATTCTTATGTTGGGGGCCCCAGAGCGGAGTAGAGGGGCAGAATCATCTCCCTTGACCTGTTGGCCGTGCTTCTTTTGATGCAGCCCAGGATACAATTGGCTTGCTGGGCTGCAAGCACACATTGCTGGCTCATGTCCAATTTGTCACCCACCAGTATCCTCAAGTCCTTCTCCACAAGGAAAACACACCAGCGTTAACACAGCAAAAGTGGGCATCTAAGCATGGGGAAAAAGGCACTTATCATGCAAAGCAAGGCAAAAAAAGAGAAAAGGAAGCCCCTTCCAAAAGCACTCCAGATGTCCAGCAAGAGACGTCCCCTACAGATGTCCTTCCAGATTGACTTACCCATGCAGGGCACGGATGACTGTTTTCTCCAGGGCATCGTTGGTGTACCTGCTGTCCAAATTGAAGAGATACTCTGCCTCCCAATGGCACGTCACCTTCACAGACTCGCCACAGATGTTCACTGTGTGGGACTTGGCAAAGTCCTCTTTCAGCCGGGGGGAGAGCAGGTTGCTCCTGCGCCTCATCGCCATGGCCTCGAAGGGCCGCTGTAGGTGGGTGCTGCTCTGCTGGTGGCGGAAAGGCAGAACTTTCCCAACCAGGGGTCCTGCTCGGGCATTCCTGGTCCCATTTCTGGAAGGTGCTGGGCCAGGGTAGGGAGCACCTCTGGGATACATGTGTTTCTTTGAGTGCTCAGGCATCTGTGAGGCATATGAGTGCTCAGCAGAGATGAAGGAGTGCTTGTTCACCTCAGCAGCTTCTTGAGTCTCTCTTGGAGGCAATGCATGGGGTTTTGCAGGGCTAGGGCTCGCACTGTTCTTCTTGCTGAAAATCCCAGGGCTTTTCTCCCTGGGAATAGAAGCCAAATCATTTAAGTCTATTTTTTCAGCAGGAGAAAGCTTCTGGTTTGGTGATACTTTGCTAGGACAGGTTGCTCCCTTTGCAAGCTTGTCTACCCTATGGTATTCATGGTCAGAAGCAACACGCAAGGATCTGTGCTTGCGATGACTCTGCTGCTCCTTTGCAGAGTTGCTGGAGGGGCTGCAGGACACAGCGATCATCCCACTGCCCCTGGGGATAAATGAAGGAATACAAGAACCCAGAGCCAGATCAGCCAGCAAGTTCAAGGCATGGGACTCATAGTTGTTTCCCTTCAGAACGAAACCGAGATCAGGAACCCCGCCTGGGCAAATCTCACTTGTTTGGCCATCTGCTCCATGGCATTGGGAAGAAACTTCGCTTGGGAGGACAGAAAATGGCTCCTTCCACTCTGCGTGAGAAAAACAAAGTCAGGGAATAAACAAAGGCCACACAGCTCTGCCTTGAGAAGAGGTTCAAAGCAGGCTTTCAGTCTGGCAGGAAAAAGCGTCTCTCCAACATGGAATTTGAACACGTAAAAAAAACCCCAAAACATCTCTATGGTCACACAGGCCATGGCTACTACAAAACGATCCAGAGTTGGGAATCTAAGCGACTTCAGGAAGGGGGTTTATTCTCAGAAATAAAAGGCATGGGATCCAGAGTGAACAAAATTTCCCTTGGTCTCTGTGCACAGGGTAGTTTGGCCACTTAAATACAACCAGAGATATTTTAGGTGTTTCCTTAATCCTTTTTATTTTGCTTTAAATTTTTGCCTAGTTTGAGTATTTGCAGTCTTCACAGATAAACCCTGTGCTATACTTCCAAAAACCCACAGTTACAAAAAACCCCAAATCCTCTAAAACAGAGGAAAACCACTCCGCCCTGATGCTTCCCACTGCACACCCTCTCAAGAGCATAACCCACCCCTGAGGTGTACCTCAGGAGCACATGCAGAAACCTGAGGGCTCTCAAAGGCAGCCAGAGCACAGCAAATAAGTGTTGATTTAGCCTTCAGTGTTAAAAATGCCCCTCACTGTAGCTCAAGGCCCATATTCATAATAACAGTATGAAGTCATTAAACAAGGTTAATGCCTTCAACTAAAAACCAGCACAAAAATCTCTCTTCAAGTAAAACGTTATTAAATCACATCTGTGCTAGTCCTGCATGTTACATTTAATTTCCTTGAGAACTGCACAGTAAGACACATAAATCGAGTACTTCTTGCTGCTAAACAGTCTTATTTTGCATTTTTGGCTGATCCTGGCATTCAGCAGGATCCATCTGATACCCTGCCCGTGCCGGAGCACTGGCCAGATCTGCTCCGGGAACCCCCATGTGAAAAGGGCAACGAGGGGTGGCGTTTGATACACACACGCTGATGAAAAGCGCCACATTTCAGGAACACGTGGCAATAAAAGATCAAGAAGAACGGATAAACTGAGCCAAGGTGGCTAAACCAGTCTTCAAAGCCTCCACATCCCCCAGGAAGGGGAAAAAGAAAGACCAGAGACAGATCTGAAAAAGGACATCAAAGCACGAGAGCGAGAAAACACCACAAATTAGCAGAAAATGACTCTCCTGTTCCATCATTTATTTTGGCACTGTAATACTGGTTCTCAGTTTAACAGCAGACTCCAGGCCAGCACCTGCAGACACTACACTCAGGGGCTGTCCACGCTGCCTCTTAAATCTGCTGCAGTCTGTCTGCAAAGGCTGCGACAATTTGACTCTTTTTAAAATGACCAGAATTACAACATAACAGACTAAGAATCTAGGTAGATGCTGGCTACAAGCAGAGGTTATAATGCTCTGTCCATGAGCTGCATCAACGCAGTTTCACAGCTCAGCAGTTAAAAATCAGGGTTTTTAAACTACCGGAGCAGTTTGCCAAGGATAAAAACTGAAGGCTTAGGAAAGGACTCAGAAGAGACCCCGTGTGGTTTGCACATCCTGCAACAGAGATTTTCACAGTTGCCTTTATGTTTTACACTACTATGCATAACTGGGTGCCTGCAGGCTGTGGGGCAGCAGCACTCAGACCCCAATCCAGACCCTCAGCACTAAATGTCGTAAGGCCCTTTGGTTGCTGCCAAACGTGCCGTTACTATCATCTGGTTGTGACCTGATCGTGATGTTTGACGGCTCGGCTTTTAAAGTAAAGATTTCCACAGGAAACAGCACTCTTACCACTTTCTGCTTGCTTTTTGGCTTGAGGTTTTGATGGGCTGTTAGCCACACTTTTTAGCGTCTTACTTTTCACTGGCTTCGTGATGGTCTCAGCAACAGGAACCTTTTTCATGTCTGGGTTCTTCAGTATCTTTAGTCTCTTTGTTTCCAAGCCAGGATCGTCAGGAGCTGAGGTTTCCTTCTGAACAGGTTCAGACTGTGCTTTGTGCACAAATTCTGCAGACAGGACCTCCGCACCTGGGACAGGGAAAAAGGAGAGCATTTCTTTTGGTTTGAGATATATTCAGGTTAAAAAGGAGTAACTGCAAAATATCCAGCTAAGAAATGTGGAAGGACTGCTTTAGAAGTGATTGCCAGTAGCACAGTAGTCTTCAATGACTTGATTTATGCATCCAATCTTACAAATGGGTTTGTTACGGATGTGAGCGATCAGTAACCAGTTTTTAAAAATTAAGCATCGCTTCTTAAGCTCATTAAAAGCCTGCTTTCCTGAACTAGAATAGGTGCTCTCCAGGGATAAGTCACTTTAATTCCTGCCCCCCCCCCCCCCCCCCCCCCCCCCCCCCACACACACACTTGCACCCTGAGGGTACTTTTAATCTCTCCAAGAAGCACATAAGAACCTCTCCCAGATCCATCAGCAATGCCACCCAGGCCCGAGGCAACGTGCACCAGGACAGAGCTCAACAGACTGTGAATCAAAGCTGACTTCAGCCCACAGCTGGCAGATGCCCTACAATCCCCTGTTCTGCACAACAGCCCATTTTCACAGTCAGTGCCGCTACCCGTGAGATGTGTAAATGCCGGGGAGGTCGCCGAGTATGACACTAACTTTGTAGACAGCTGGTTCTTTGGATGTTTATGGCCACGTTTCATCACCAAGGTTGAGATTCATCTCAACCCACTTGGAGTGTCTCTACAAATCAGGCGGAGGCTCAGGCTGGCTCAGAAGGACAGGCTTAGCCAATCCTCAGCAGTGAGACAGGAGCCTTCAGAGGACAATCTATGCCACTGAGACACCTTGCATGAGCAGGTCAGGCCAGATGCCAGCTTTCAGCAGAGTAAGTTGGGTGGGATCAATCTCACACTTCTAGCTTCCTCAAGGCCACAGCAAGAAAGCTGACTCTCAGGGAGTCACAACGTGACCATATAGGGTGGCTGGTTATTTAGGCAGCCTGTAATGACCATGGCTTTGGCAACTGCTCCTTGCCTGAGCCATCAACAGCCCACGGACAAGTGATGCAATAACCATGACCTGGCTGATGCCTCTGTGCAGAGTCACCTGTAAGCAAAGGAAGGCACCAGCACAAACCATTGCACCAAGTTTCAGGCACCTTCACTGAAATCCCCTGCCATAGCCCTGGACTCCTTCCCAGGTTGAAGAAGAGACTGTGGAGACATCACCACAGACCTATTTGGATGCTCTCAGGAGGTATCTGCTCGCGCTGGGCACCTGGGGGGATGGCGAGGGGACACAGCTCCTAGTGAACCCTGAGTATCCCAGCTAGATATCCCAAAGAAGCAGGAGGAAGTCAGTCCCATTTATATAGCACTTACCTCTTTTCCTTCTGTGTGGAAACTGCAAATTGGCTAATTTAAGCATGGGCTCGTTGGAACTGGCCGCGAACCCTGGCTTTTTAGGAAAAGAGAAAGCGATGTTGATTTTCTTCTTCTTGGTTGCTTTCCTGTTCCTGCTGCTGTCCCCCATAGGATGCATTTGCATCTTGAGGGGTGACCATTTCTTCCTGGTGCTGGTCACAATAGCTCGGCTGGATTTTCTCCTGCTCTGCTGTACCCACAGCTTGCTGGCTGAGTTGACATCTTTTGTGGGCCCTTTACCACTCTGGTCCAGCCCCACACTGGGCTGTGGGTTTTCACTTTTGACTTTTATTTCCGCTGCTGTGTTGGGACTAATAGGGTCTGGTGGCACAGCTGAACAGAAGTCCACTTTATAATCGGCCTCTGAATCGCAGCAAAGAGACTGAACAGCACCAGTCAAACATCCTAAGGCAGCTGACATTTCCAGAGTATAGCTGCTGGGATCAGACAGATAATGCTGCAGCTGGGAGAAAGACTGCTCTGAGTGTTTTTTGAAGGGATCAGTACATTCATCCTCAGTTGGTGAGAGGAGAGAAGAAAGGGGAACTTTGCAGTTTTGCCCAGAGGTGGGCTGTGTATTTTGATCAAGCTTTGCGTACTCCTGGAAGTGCTGTTTGATACATAAGCTGGTACTGACTGCATCCCCCCATGAAGAACTCGTGGCTTTCTGTAAGGCATAGCGAAGTCCAGGCAAAACTGATGCTATTTTTAATGAGATGTCACTATCATCACCACCTTCCCTTTCATCTTTTGGATCATGCTTTTCAACTGCGAAAGGAAAGTAACAGAATTTTACTCACATTAAAAAAGGATTAAATTCCTCAAATCACCTCACCGTTACATGGGAAAAGAACATGAAAGCTATGAAAAAGCCCCAGAAGCCAACCTACAAAAAGCTAGCCCCAGGGGTGATGTCCTGGTTTGATGGATGCTTGTAACTGCTGAAGGTAAAAAGAATTGCACGTAGGAGTCAAAGTGGATTAAACTAAGATGAAAGACTGCTGTTGTATCAGCTAGCTCCATTCTGCAGGAAATTACAGGGTGAGATGGCACACATAGTGGTCTAAGTCCCTTCACTCTAGCAACTCCTGCTACATCCAACATTTAAGACAGTCAGAGCTCTGAAAATAAGATGGGTTTTGTTTAAACCTGTTTAAATTTAGGGTTGCCCATGCAGGGTGTTTAGACTAGCACCATTTTCAGATCACTTGTGTTAAGTCCCTGTTCACATGCAACTTCCAGCAGCTCCATCTCTACCTGCTGTCAACGTGGGTGGACACGCTTCACATGAAGACACCACATTAGTGTTCTGGAGTGGGATGGGGAATACAGACTTCCTCAAGCAGATCTGGGGACTGTACAAATAACTAACGTGATCCCTGGGTGATCTTCTAAAGCTGGAGGACTGATCCTACTGAAAAGAGTTGGTGTTTCTGTTTTCAGCAGGATCAACACTCTACCACGTACACTGCTCAGTATCATAAAAGCCTTGGGTTTAGCTCCCAGCAGGGATCAACGAGTCCCAAGGCTGAAGGGTGCCCACCCTTGCAGGTGTCACTGTGGAAGTAGGCTCCGCTTGGCATAGCAGCATCCTCTCAGTGTCTGGAAATGCCTGGAGAGCCAGTGTGATATGCAGAGCCTGTCAGTTGAGCTCCCCATCTGCACAAGGCAGACTTATCCGGCTTCATCCGCTGCAAGCCAGCAGCCTGATGTTGGTGCTTTGCACCCACAGGATTGGCCCATCTGCGTGTTATGATCCAACTCTGAGGTTTCTTCTGGTTGCAGAGCCAGGCTGACAACCCCAGTGCCCTTCCCCGTCACATCTCTTCCCAGCAAGGCAAAGGCATTTCTCTTCCCCTTCCAGATGTGCGATTTTCTTCGCCTGTTGGCTTGCCTTGCACTGGCAATGCTGGTCCTTGTTACCGGCAAGCCCAGGCGTCCCCGCAAGCCAGCTCCCAGCTGCCTGCCTCCGCTGCTGGCTCAGGAACACTGCAGCATGTCTGCACAGCGGGTTTGGTACGCCTGCCCTACATTCCTCTTGACGGCTGTCTGGACAGGAAGGGAACAGATTCAGAGGCCGCTTGTTTCAAAACGGGAAACATTATTCATGCTTCGAGTCTGAGCTGAGTGACTTCAGATGTGACCATCCTTCAACCTCCTGTTCTCTTTGCATCTCCCCTGCACCCCTGCCATCCCTTTTCAACCCCAAACCCCTGCACAGCTCTGCTTATCTTCATAGAAAGGAAAAGCCCTAAAGGAAAAAGGGTTTAAAATCCCAGTGAGAAGAGGTCTCCGTCCTAGCGGACAGTCAGGGCTGGCTGGGGTAACGCTGCTCACATAGGCAGAATGGGACAGCACGTGCAGGAGTCCCGCCAGCACCAGAGGGAAAGCATCTGGAAGCCATCAACGTTCACATCATGACATATAACAACACTGAGTGTTTACTCAATGTTATCCTCTCCCCTTGCCTGTTCGCTTTGCCACCAGCTGCTCTCTGGCTGCCACGGCTTTGCCTCCTCTTTAGCATCAACACCAGCCACAGGCAATGTCTACTACAGCCCCAAACTTTCCTACCGACCAGCTCATTGCACCAGCTTCTCTCTGGCATGCTCCTTACGCCTGGTGCCCTCTCCTGTCTCCACCACCTTCTTCCACAATAACCCTCTTCAAGATAAATACCTCCTTGCCCTGTTCTCCTCTTCCCCAGTGTACAGTGCCCACAGTCAGCCTGGAATAGATCCCTCTGCTCTGGAGGGTATTTTCTGCCTGTTGCAGTGCTGGTCAGAAAGATCTCAATATCTGGGTGGTCAGTTCCCACCTCCAGTCTGCTCTCCAGGCATTCTTCCCCTTCACCTCACCCAATTTCAAGTCCTTGCTCCAGGCATCACAGCAACAACCTGATCCCAGGTTTGACCTGGCACTTTGGATCTTCAGTCTGCCTCAGGAGGAGCCTGTCTCTCTCCTACACCTAGTAAAGATACTAGAAATGTTGCCATGCTAACACAGCCACCAGCAGCACGTCCTTAAAGTTAGGCTGACTGAATTCAGGCATCAAAGACATTTGCAACACGTACTGCCAAGTTACCATCATGTCTTCACCCGACTTACAAGCCCACTTCATATGCGAGTCCTGAAGAATAAAGTTTATAGCTGGAGGTTAAACACTGAAAAAGACAAAGCAATCCATGCTTGGATGTGCCTGTGGGTCCCATCAGCTCTTCCGCTGATTTTATCTTCTGGGGAGGGGAGATGGGTACATCCTGTGCAGCTCCTTCGGCAATGCCAGCCATCGCTCACACAGAGGTGGACTGAAATACCAATGTGTGGCTGGCATAAACAGTCTCTTGACTTGTCCCTAGGATGACTCAACAAAAAGCAAGCCAGAAGTTACGCAGAGCAAAAGGTCCCTGCTTATACGTTGCTTGCAGATCTGCAAGGCTAGAAGTACTACTGGTGGAGTAGGCACAGTGAGAGGCACGTGGATGAAGCTGTCCAAGGGAGGCAGAGCAGTAACTTTCTTTATGTCCACAAGAAGAAATTGTAGTATGAATATTTCTACATAGACAGTGCAGCAAAAAGCCAATAGATAGAGAGAAAATTTGAGGCAAATGCAACAGAGGTTGAAGCTGATTCTTACTTCAAGATCTGCAGGTTCAAACCGAGCAATCTTATTTAGTGCCTCTGTATTTGTTCTGCATGAAAAGCAGCACATTTTGCAGCTGCAGACAGGCTGGATTCACCTCCCAGCTCCCAGAGCCGTGCCTCACCTTGATGGCAGCAAAGTATCACAGCTCTGGCCAACGCCATCTCCCTGCCTCCCTCCCTCACCCGTCATGCACCCTGACCAGTCGTCACAGCTCCGCTACCAACATTTATGGATCCCGCAGGAGAGAAGTCACACAATACGGCTGAGCCTCCAAACCCTTGCTGCTCTTTAGGGAGCAACGCCCTTTCCCCACCTCTCCTCTCCCTCCCCACAACAGCAGCGACCTTTCACAGAGCCCACTTCACTTGTTATCTCAGCAGAAAACAATTCCCTTATTTTTTAGGGCAGGTTTTTTTTCTGCTGGTTTAGCAAATCACATCAGCTCCATGCAGGGTCCAGCAAGTGCCATGTGTCATTTCGCCCCCCTGAGCACGGCTCCAGTGCACCTTTAGGGATGTAACCCAGGCTCTGCAGGCGTCAGATTTCCACATACACACATAAGACAGTTCAGGGAGTGGATGCTGCTGAAAACTGACTGAGAGGGAGAAATGTAATTATTTGTCACTCCCATCAACTTCCTGCAAAGGGGCAAGGATGTGCAGTGACTCTCGTTTACATCAGCTTAAAATGCAGCATAGCTAGAGAATTGGCACTTCTCTCTCCTCTTAAGGCCCTTTGCGCTAAAGCTGTAGGTGGTTCTGAGCAGAGAAATCAGCTCTTCAAGAAGACATGCCTGTGAGGACCCTCTGGTGAGGATCCCACAGCCAAAACAGTGTCTGAAGCCAGCAAAGGGAACCTCCCTACCTCTCAGGCATACCGACCGGGATGAGGTGAACAGAAACAGGGCCAGGAGGCTGACAGGCTCCTTGGGGTCAAACCCTATGAAAGAAAGCAACAGGTTTTGTTTAGACTGAGGGTGCCTACCCTCCGTCTCTAAAACTGAGCAGGATGTTTAAGCACAGGTATTGGTTTCTACATAGCCATGCCTTACCATCATCTCGTGCCAAAGCAGAGGACGTGAGGAGGATAAGGGCTCCTTGGTCTTGTAAATATTTGATGATTGCCTATAAAAAACACATACAAAGTTAGAGCAACCACTCCCTTTCCTCCTCAGCACACTTTATATCACTCAGCATGACTGTTGACAAGCCCTTATTGCCGGTGAACATGTGCCAACATCACCAGCTCATTCCCTGTTGAGGAGGACACTGTTTGTTTCATGCCACTTGGGTCAATGGGGATCTGTAACCAAAAGCATTCAATTTATGTTGTTATTCAGCTCTCAGATTCCTCCCATCTGTTTCTTAAAAAATAAATATGCTTAGCCAAACTAGCTGTAATTAATGAACAAGGTTAATAATTTTAGTCCCTTCAGTTCAAAAGCTCCTAGGCATCTCAGCCAGAAATTGCTTTCAACAGCCCAAGGGGAAGGTTTTCCCAGGAGGGAAAGCAAAGCTGGACACCAGCATCTGACAAAATACAACCAACTGTTCCAGCCACAAGCCTGACTGAAGTTCAGGCCATGCAGCTTGCTTATTAACAGCATCAGTATCAAAGAATATGTGACAAAAAATTTGCTGAGTCTAAAAGACACCTGCAACTCTGTCTCAGAGCTGGATGACTGCATGTCTAAAAAGATATGTGCACTTATTGAGGCTTTTCTTATGTTTGGGTGTTGCTTGATGCCTCATTGCAGAGCTTCATTTGGACTGCCTTTCCCTCTGTGGGGATAGCCATTTGGATCTCTTCCTTCCATGCAAACACATCTTTTCAGGAAACTTAGAGGAACTGAATAACCCTAGGGCTTCTAATGCTCTGTGAAACTTCACTGATCCCATTCAATACATTCAGACATAACAGAGCATTGGACTAACGCCCACAGCCTCATTTCTCCAGGACAACAGAACAGCTTTGGAAATGCTGAACAATTTCAATTTAATATTCACTATTCAGAACAGCAGCTCCTTGCTTTGGTTGTCTCAAGCCAGCAGAGCAGAAGGGATAAGAGCCAGCATCTCTGCTGCATAAATCCAGCTCAATGAAATAGCTGTGGTTTCTCACGGACAGGATGATTTTCAGGCAGGTGAGGAGGAAAGTCAAGCCATAAGGCAGACACAGAGCTGAGAGACATCAATCAGCAAGCACCCAGAGGAGCACAGCTGGCCTCAGGCAACAGCGAGCCCCAGCCACCCTTTCATTTTCACTTGGGCCCTGTGCAAGGTGGGTGCCTGGCCCGTGCACCACTGAAAGGGAAAGGAGATGGAAGGCATTTTTCACACTTTTGGGAGCTGCCGCCAAAGCGAATTCACCCACAGGCTGTTCAACAGCAAGCTAAGGGGAGGGAAGAAGCACACTGACCATTTCCTCGCTGGAATAAAGGAGCTCTATTAATGCAGTCTGACAGATATATGAGGGTGGGGAATCTCTAGGGAAACGATGCTCCTGATGGCTTTCAATACCAAACTGCTCACGGCCACAACTCAACCATCTCATCTTTTGCTCTAGTGAGCCCAGCTCTGCTGGGCTTGGCAGGATGCATGTTATAACCCTCAGTGGCTACAAACATGGTGTGATGCCCTGGAACACGTGGCTGTCACAGATCCCAGCAAGAAAGACACTTGGACTCTGTAAAGTATTGGTTAAAATATCTCTTACTGGTGAGAACAGGAGAAGAAAAAAGGGATAGCACAGATAAGCTTACATCTCTTCAGATGCTGGGAACCTCAAGATGAGCTGCAGCACAGATCAGTGGCACAACCAGAGGTCCAACTGAAGTTGCACAGGTCAGGGTTACCTGCACGTGAAGGGATATTGTCTTTGTCATCCCTTCTTTCTTCTCATGTTGTTACCAGTATAAAACAGTTTAATCAATACTTTAGGGAGTCCAAGTGCTTTCCTTACAGGGATCCACAACAAACACTTGCTCTGGTATGTTACATGTGGGAAGCTGCACATCGGTGGGCAGCTCTTCAGCAGTGCCGCACAGCAACAGCACTTCCAGGCAGTTCACGGGCCACTGCCAACTTATAGTGAGGGGACGATGTGCCCAGACAGCCGTGAGTTTGCAGCCGTGAATTTGCGACCTTGAATTTACAGGAAGCGTCAGATGTGAGAGAGCAACCAGCAGCAGCAAAGCCAAAACCAACCCAACCACAAATCCCAGCAGAGATGCAGGTGCTGCACTCCACAAAGGTGAGGATTATCCCTTGGAGTCACAAGGAGATGTGACAGTCACACTGGGAACAAAAGACCCCAGTGTGCTTGAAAAAAGCCTTATCAGATAATATATCACAAGGGAAATTCACCATTAAAAATAAATCTCAGCTTATTCAGAGCTCCTGGAAGCCCATGAGGTTTCAGCAGTGTAACTAGGAGTATCTAGCTGAGTGGGGGCTATTTTTCAGCAATGAGGGAGAAAGGCAGGCATGTGACAGCTTATGTCTTTTGCTTAGTAATTATCATTTTGGCATTGGGGGACTTTGCTTCTGCTTTCTTAATATATAAGATCCCCTTGCAGTCCTTGTCCACCATGCTGTTTGCAATGCAAGGGGGGAAAATCATTAACAAAGACAATAAAATAATCTGAACTGGCATAAACATAGCCAAAGAAGAGGTTTGCCTGGTATAATGCCTTCTGCTCAGCAGGGCATGCTCACCCTAGAAATCAGTTCCCAACTCATAGTAGGTAATCTTCAGTTAACAGTTTATATACAGAAATACTAAACTATGTCCAAGAATAACAAAGCAGGAAAATAATACTTAAACCAGGGAAATTCATTCCATTTTGCATTAGTTCAGAATCTGTGAATACCAAAAGTTTCAAGAGATCATTTAAAAGGCCACCTTCCTCCCAGAATGACAATGTTTTAAAATACTTACCAAGTCTTTTTCCTTTAGCTTTTCTACTAACTGATCCATTTTGTATTGATCCTTACTTGATATTTCTACTTCATACAGACTGAAGTAAACACCCTGAAAGCAGACTGCAGACAAAAGAGAGAGAATTTGATGTTGAAATAGTGCCTCTTGCATGAACTCTGAACAAACAAGTGCTCCTGTACAAGGAAAATGGGTGTGCAATTGGTGGAAGCACTGGGTTTTAAAAAAAAAAAACCAAAAAAAACTTACCAAGATATCCTAAGCTGGTATATGCATTCATATCGCAGTGAGTTTCCTCTTCAACCCATGCATGGTTCACTGGAGATGTTTCCTATCTTATCTCTGCAGCTAACAAAAGCTATTTAACCAATGCTGTGTGCTTCAACAGAGACAGGGAGCCTTTCAGAGGGAAATAGCTCATTCTAACATGCCATATTCTCCCCTACTATGGAGCATCGTTATTCCACACTCTGATCCCCAAAGGAGTTTAACAAAGGCAAGATCTTGCACCCACCTTAACCCTCTGAATTTCAGAGCAAAATTCTTCTGTTCAACTATTTCTTCTCTTTCACCAGCTGATCTTAAGACTGTGGCTCCATGGCACTTTCATCAAGTGTTGCTGTGGCCTGCCCCACTTCTCCTGCCCTGGCACTATCCTGTGTCCATCTGCACTGTAGGATGAATGCTAACCCCCAAAACAGGCTGGCTGTCAGCCGGCCCAATCAATGCCCTGACTGGGTTCAGCGGAGCTGATACACGGATGGGACGCAACACTGCAGCAGTCCACACTTGTTTTGGTGCAAGATGACATGGAAATGTCATGGAAATGCACCTGGAGCTTCTGCAAATCACATCCAGAGCCCTCCATGTGCAACCTGCAGTATCTGTGCCAGTAACTGCACATCCACTGCAATGCACAGCCACTCACAGCCATCAGGAGCTCAACACCTCAGGGCTGAGAGCTGCCAGGCTCATCAAAACTGCAACCCAAAAATCAATCAGCAGTATGAACCCCAAGTGTAATTAGACACAGATCCCCTCCTCCCCACCCTGCACTGACCAGGACAGAGAGTGGTTGACTATAGGCAAGTAGGGTCTCTTAGCACCACTAAGGGGACAGTAGAGCCCTTCCCCTCCTTCCCCAAATCTGTGCTTTTATTTGCTGATTACTGAGTATTCTCTGCCTCTCTCCAAGGTTTCTGGAGTCCTCTCTCCTCTCATGCTGCCATTCACTGTCACTGTCAGTCCCCTTGAAGTGACAAGTAGGTTACCTGTGACGCAAAGCTACTGCAGGCAGCCACGTCTTTTGGCTTTGGCTGGCAGCTAGGCCCATCTGCCCAGATGCAGGAGACACTGAATCAGACCCCAAAAGGTGGAGTGTCCCTCACCTCGTAGGGAGATGAATTAAGAAGGGAAAAGTTTGTCTCCCTGCATTTGCTCTCAGTTGCACCACTTTTGGCATCTTGCAGGATGGGAAGTCAGGTCTCAAAACAGGGTCTCCCACCCTGTCCTGTCCCAGGAATGGGCTGATCAAAGGGTTGCTTTGGGAAAAGCATTATATCACATCAGGAGACCATATGAAGCATGGACAGGAAAATATCCCTGTGCTGCCTTGGCATTTTTCCTTGCTTATCTGCAATCAGCCACCCTTCAAGACAGGACCCAGTGCTACGTGGACGTGAGCTCTAACCCCCTGCAGCAATTCCTATGGCACAGCACAAGCACATGTTACTCATCATGCTGGCGGGTTTGGCACTCACCTTCATTCTCAGTGTAATTTCTTTTCCCAAATGCAGCTTCTGGTAGCTTTTTCTTCAAGTCGGACAAACCCATGACATGGTTAATGTCCAGGTTGGGAGGCCTGTGGGGATAAAGCAGCAGACAGTGAGATCACAAGCATAAAAGGCTCTCAGAATCAAGCATAGTAGGGTGTCCTTGTTGGCCTGTCACTGTAAAACCAGAGAAAGTGCCTCTGAAGAAGGCTAGAGAAGTTTCAGCTTGCTTTGCTGATCTGAGGATTCTGTTTGTGAACACTTCCAAACATTGATATTGGTGGCCATGTTACTGGCTGTCACTGGCTGTTTCAAATTGCTGCCTGCTGGCTGGCTTCTGACTACTGAAGATTTTAAATCTCTCATTTTTTTGAATGCTAGTTACCTCAATACTTTATTTGCCATCGTGCCTATCTGTAAACACAACTGGCTGATCGTACATGCACCATCAGGAAGCCCACTTTTCACACAGAGAAAAGTCCCAAGCAGGAATAATTGATTTGGAATAAACATTCCAGAGCAGTTAACAAAAAGAGATGACAAAATACAGCCATTTCCAGCTGCAGTTCAGGGCCCGGTCTCATGTCCTCATCCAGCTATTGCTGTGACACTGCACCGCTGGCTGCCCAACACTACTTTCCTGACACTGATGACTGCCCTGACAGTGGAGGTGGTAAGCTGGTACAGCTGCAAGAAGATGCTGATCAATGAATGGATGGGGCAGGAAAGACAAAACTGGCTTTTGCTGGTACACAGACACCCAAAGGTGTAATGCTTCACACTCCACAAATTGCACAGAAAGAAGAGAAAGGGGCAACTTACAGCTGGGCTGGAATCGTGGAGCTGTATGGGGTCCTCAGGGCGATGTTGCACAAAAGCTGGCCCCGGATGGAGAGCTGCCCCCTCCATGGACAGTACAATGCTACAGGCAAAAGGGAGAACGGCTCAGAGAAAGCAGGAGAGGGAGAGGGAGAAAGGTACATTTATAAAACAAAAACAACCACCAGATGCTCCTACCTTTGTGATTAAGCTCAGGTCTAGAGAAAAGGGAGAAAAAGAGGAACATTTAGCAATGGGAAAAGGAAAAACAGCCCACAAAAGTGACCGGGTATTTTGGAACGACAGCAAGTTGCTTACAGGCTCTCTATAGCTAAGACGGGCATTTCCTTCGGCTCCCTGTACTGGCAGGCGATGACTATGTAAGGGCAAATCTGCCTGGGCCGCTCAGCAGTGCTGCCATCGGACACTTCATACACGTAATACTGGGGTGAGAAGGGAAACACAGATGAAAAAACAAGGTGAGGAATGAGCAAGGCACCTGGGCCAGCACCATGTTCCCCTGCAGCCCACAAGTAAGCTGTCTGCACAGTCCTGTTGCAAATTGATACCTGGCTCTGCTCGAAGGCCTGGCAGTGGCTGGCCTTCGACAGTATGTTGCTTCTGCTTACGGCGACATGGCAGTCGTAGCCGGGAGATGGGCAGGTATAGCTGGTTGTGTAATTCTCAGATACCACCTTGACCTTCCCCTGTGCCAGAAAATTCCCCAAAAAAAAAAAAAGTACAGAAACTTATTTTAAAAGACCCCGAATGCTCCTTTTCCCCAAAGACAGTGTTGCTGGCAGCCCCACACTCCCCACCACTGTGAGGGGGTTGCGTGCATTTGTGTCCTTACAAACATGAGGGCCTGCCACAGCTGAGTTCGCCATGGCAGACAAATCTGCACTGCTCAGGAGAGCAAAGAGGAGCAGCAAGTCTTTGGTGCCAGCTACAGAGAGCAGGAGCCAGTGGGGAGGAAAGGGGCCACATGCTAGCCCCATGGAGGAATAGAATGGGCCTGTGCTCTGAGCCACCCTATGGTTCCCTCTCAAATCCCCAAAATGCATGAGAGTCCAGGGGAAAAGGTGACCCTATGGGAAATTTCCGATCTCAGCAGTGGAATTTGGAAGTTCCTCTGCATCCTCTGCTACCCTGCAGACCACCAGTCCAGCCCAGTTGGATCTCTTGCTTTCTAGCCTGACACATCCCACTGTCAAAAATCCTGATGAGCTCTCAACAGACCTGATTCTACACCCCACCACAGTTATGGGCACCAATGTCTCCTTAAAAACTGCTTGCACTGTATAGCGGCTTCTGAAAACCATTCCACATAAAAAGAAAGACTTGCATTTTACCTTAATTAGCTTACAAATTACAATATAGCCTGATTTTCCATGATACCAGGGTCTCGGATGAAGACAGTCTGCATACTTAGAAATATAAACCCCTGTGAAAACAAAGCAATGTAAGATAATGTGAATCATCTGTCAAGTAAAGCTGACTGCCAAAAAACCCTGTAAAGAGGGCCCTTCTTGCGGAAATGGGAGTCTCTGCAGAGTCAGTGCTGCAAACCAGAGTAGCACTTGCTGTCATAAAAAGGGTGAAACTCTTTCTGACTCTTTTCCTTTTTTTTGACAGCTGGTATGGAACAGCATTATATGTTTCAGGGTCAGCTCTAGGAAAGGAGTTAACTTGGGTTTCTCCTGGGAGAAGTAGCCTAGCTAACATCAGTTTTGCCCACGCTACATGAAAACATACTGAGAGAGGGCTTGTCTCTTACAGAAAGATCTGGTGAAGGGCTTCCAGGTCAGACTGCAAAGGGGGCAGGTACTTTGCTCAATTTGGAGTCACACAAAGGCAATGTGACTGTTTATATGTGGGGAACACTCACTGCAAGGGCATGAGAGCAGGCCCATGGCATGGCATAGACCCTCCCAGGCCCCTTCCTTGGCTCTTTATGGCCCCTCAGCATCCCGGATGTCAACATGAACCTTCTACCCTGTGACAAGGCCTATTCTCACATGGCTTATTCCCATCCCTTCTCCATGCTGAGGGCATATCATATGTGGACTTATTGGGGGTGGGGGTGTTGGCTCTTTACTCCTGCTTTATATTTGTAGACAAGATGGGTAGACAAGTACATGGCGGGGGAAACAGGGACTGGGCAGGGGAAGGGCTACAAAGAGACGCACCATAATATTCATCTCAGTCCATCAGGACTAAGATATACACCAGATAAATAACCAGTTCTTGTTTGGTTTTGCATTCACTGCCATTGACTGCTCAATAATTAGGTCTCTTGGCCTGCGAAGACTTGCGGGATGAACACTGGTAGACGTTCTGCTTCTGGCAGAAGGATTTCTTTGAGTAACCCATTGTGCACTGCACGTCTTGAGGCCCCAGACCTTTGGGCAAGGAACTTGCACATACTGAAAAGGGCTTTGGCGTGTCACGATCTGCTCTGGTTATTAAAAAGACTAGTGGCAAAAGCTCAGCAAACAGACTCTGAAGAGCAAACGGGTGGGGAGAGCTGCCAAAAAGCCACTTTGGTGACAAAGGTTGTTATTAACAAGGGAGAAAAAGCCTGAAATGGAGAGGTGAAGAGACAATAACATTCCCTGGGGAAGATCCCATCCTCATCTGGTTGAAGGGGCAGAAGGAAAAAACTGCTGCTTGCTTGGTCCAAACAAGTGCAGTTTCCCATGTAAGAAACACGGGAGTTTCTGTGGATCTTTGCAGTAAATAACAAGGCAGTACCAAGAGTTTGTCTGGGCTTTTGCTTTTAAAGGAGTCAATATCCCCAGAACAGTGAACAGGTCTCTTGGTCCTCTGAATAGAAAGCTTACCTTTTGCTGGGTCACCAAGTATGGAAATAGAACTGCTGTTTACACGGAGGCCTGTCTGACACACCTCTTTTGCCTTCAAAAGAAGAGACAGCCTCTTTTACTATCTATTTTCAAAGCTAAGGGACACAGCTACTGAAATCTGTAGCACAACAGTTGGCAAAATACTTGCAACAGGCAAACATGTTGTTTCAGATACTAAATACTTGTATTTATCGAGTGTTGTTACAAAAACCTCTGTGGAAGCAAAAGCTTAGAAAAATCTGGAAAAAATCCAGCATCTCCAGAAACCACTGCATGCGTGAGGCTGGACTTTGCACCTTCTTTATCTGCATGGGAAATTTATGGAAAAATAAATGGAATGGGGCTGGCATGAAGGCAAAGGACATTTGTTACTCTGTGCTCACTCCTCTATAGACACAATTACTGCCTTGGGAGCATCTCACCAGCTTTGATTTAATTCATGTCCAAAGCAGATTCATAAAAGTGTGCAAAGACCAAATGTAGATTGACCAAGGAGTGACAATAGGAGCAGTCTGAACTCATTATGGGTGAGAAATAAAAGCAAACCAGTCAAACTATACTCAGCCCCTTTATAAGCAACACTGGACACTCATCTCACCTAACTTCTGCCTCCTAAAATGCAAGTGTCTAGCTTAGACCAGCCAGCTAGATTTCCCCTCTAACAGAGGGAGGCACCTCCAGAGAGCTGTTTAGCCCAAGGATTTTAGATGCCTGCATTAAATGAGGTCCAACTGTCCTCTGGAGAGCTCCCTCTTTCCTAGGGTCTGTACAAGGAGCTCAGTCACTTGGCGCAGACTGTGTTAAATTTCAAACAGCCAAAACAAAGTGAGACAATTCCCACACCCAAACTGAGACTGAAAGTGGTTTATTTTGCTGTAGCTCAATTCAGACTGAACAGAACTAAAATGCATTCAGGCCACTCTCATCCTGAACAAAACCATCTCTACTGTGATTTAGCATGGCATCACTAAATCACATTGAAAGTGAATTCCCACTAGATTCCCTGAGCATCGTTCTGTAGACAAACTCTTCAAAAATCAAAAGCATCCTTGTGAAAAATGGGCAGGAGTAACTTTCCCAATAGCTGTGTCAGGCTCTCCACCTAGCTGGCAAAACTGAGGGAACTTGCCCAAAACCACCTGACAAACTCCTGTCTCCTGTGACAAAGGTGCTTTTCTCTTCTAAGCGTACATGAAAGGTTTCACCTGCTGGTAATTGACCATAAGTCCACTGGGACAAAGGGAGACTCCTCCTATCTCCCTGCAAAGGGCAAAGGGGACAGCCAGATCTGAAACAGTAATTGACTGGAGAGATGCAAAATAAGATCCATCACTAAAACCTCCCAGTAGCTGCTTTCAGAACTTGCTCTGTACTATTTATACAGTAGTAATTTTACTGGTAACCAGGGTACAGAGAGCCAGGACACTTCGGTCAACAGATCTGCTGGGCTTTGGTGGGACAGAGCACATGTGCAGGCACTTGGCATCAAACTTCTTAAGCTAAATAAACATTTCAGGTTACCTCTTCTTCATTATCAAACAGGAGAAATGCAAAGGTCTCCTCCAGCTCCTCCTGGCTGTATCCAGCAGCTTCCTTTGCTTGGGCAAAAGCTTTGAGCTGCAGAAGACACAACAACACTTTGTTCTAGTCTGTTCATGCCAGAACCAAGTGACACGTTCATAGTGTGAGGACAGTGTCCCAAGTACCTCCAGTCGTGGTAAGTACAGGGCAGATAGCAGCGGCCAGGTGATGCTGGACCAGCTCATGTGCCCACACACGATTCTATCCCCCAGGCACGTGTACACCCATTCTCCAACCACAAGGCCCCCAATCCATGCATCTGTCTGTCCGTCTGTCTCTGCCTTTGTCGCCAGCAGAACATGTTCAATGTCCTCCAAGGGACAGCAGGCACATCCAGCCCCACAGTGTCACGCTGTGCTCATCCCAGGGAAGTCCAGCCTTATTCCACCGTGCCCCTCTTGCCACACATCACAGGCTACTGGGGAGCTTGTTTCACCAAGCAGCATGTGGGCTGGTGGAGCATCACATTTAGTAGCCAGCTATGCCCATAAGAAGGCAGATCATCTCAGCCATGGAGAAGATGCCTACAGAAGGGGAGATGGCTTGGAGGCACCTCTCTTTTTCTCTCTCCACTGACCAGGGAAGCCTAGACTATTTGATTAGAGGGCAGGTGCTATCATGCGACTACAGCTCAGAGGGTTTGGCTACAGCCAAATAACACATTACTCCAATTTCTTTTGTCTGATAATTAAAGCAGAGCATGTTCTCAGTGCAGACAGGAAGAACATCATGGGAGCAAACAGAGCTGGATCTGAGTCCATAATATTTTGGGGCTTTAATAAAAGAAGTTGTAGTAGGATGGGTTTTTTTAAACAGGATGAGATGATAAGAAAACATCTCATCACTGCTTTTCCTTATTTTGGCTTTAGACGCACAGGCAAATCAACAAATTACTTGATACCTGCTTCCCCATTTGTTTTATCCAGCTCCACAGTGACTATCCCAGATTTAGGCAGCCAAAATGTCTAAACTCTATTTAAACTATGACAACAAGCAGACTGGTCATCTCCAGTCCCCAGAGAAGGCAGCCTGTCTTGCACACCAATGACAGAGGGAGTGTAGGGATGAAGGCATTTTAAAAGCGGTTCCGTACACATCTCAGTCAGCTGGAGAAAGGCAAATGGGGTTAAAACTGGTGCCTGCAGAGGTGTGAGGGCAGACAAAAGAAATACCACATGGAAATCTGCCTCCCTGTGAATCAGCAGAAGTGCAATAACATTAAAGCTCTCCTGCTAGGTATCAAACCAGGATTTCAACCTGCCCCCAAGGCCTGCTCCAGGAACTGCTGTTGAATGTCTGGCAACATTGGCTGAATGGACCTTTTGTTCCTGATCAGACTGGGAAGGAAGAAGTGCAAGAAAGCAAAGAAAAGGCGCCCTTCAGTCAGGAACTGCAAATGGGGCTCTACAAAGCAGGCAGATCAGCCACCTGCTGCAAAGGAAATACCTGCCAATAAACCAACATTTACAGACCTCTGCAGCTCCCAAAGAAACACCACCCTTTCCCAAGCTGCCAGCAACACCCTGCTCCTCCACTGGCCTTACCTCACTCAGAAAAACATGGTTTTCCACCAGAATTGCTTGGCTGTACTGAAAACCATCCTGAGATGTAGAGTCCAAGTAGGAGCTCTGCAACACTGAAACTGCTGTCTGCAGAAGGGAACTTGACTCTTCTGATTCCAGATGAAAACCTGGAGGAAGAAAGCAAAAAGCAGGTGCAAATATTAACTCTGGGCATCCCCAGATGAGTATGGGGCCTCAGCAGAGGTGGGTGGCAGCTTAGTTATCAAGCCCAGATCTCCATGGAGCAGATCAGCCCTGTGGCTCCCAATGGGAACAGCCGCTCGCCTCCAGCCATGGAACCCCCAAGTCTTTGTCTGTAAGTTAAACTGCCCTTCGGCAGGAGAAATACAAGCTCCCTGTTTGCCAGTGACCCCTTAAAGTTTTTCATTTGCAACAGGAAAAAAAAAGAAATCAATAGCAACTGCCAGAAGCAAAGCCTGGTGGTAAATTAACTTTATGCTGAGCAGGTCAGAGTTTTCTCTTGTACTAAAAAGTTACTTAGATTTGTTGAGTACTCTTTTAGGGTGTGAGAGTTGATGTCTGCACACAGGAAAAATCTCAGTGCATGCTCAGTTTCCCAGGGTTATCTGTTTTTCTATAAAGATCTTCAGGTCTTGAGTGAATGTGGTTTTCAATACCATGAGAGCAAGCCTTCCTTCAAAGCCTCAATGGGCAGAGCTTTCTCAAAGCCCAAATTCTCTCACATCTCCAAGGAAAACATCCGAGTGAAACACTTCCCAACTGCATCCTACCAAGAAGAGGTCCCAAAGCAGTTGACAAATTAACTATGGATGCAGAAACAAATGAAAGCCCTGCAGTATTTGTGCTCTTGCAACTGTTAAAATCCAAGTATTAAATAAAGCAGCCACTCCGAAAGACAGGAAATCCTGGGCTCAGTCTCTGTTGCACATTTAAAAACCTTTATTACTGGCGGTGATTCATGAGCTAAGAGACTTCAAATCCCAAGCTGAGTTTTCAACATAGACACATTGAAAAGGTTTACTAATTCTGACCCATAAACTTTAGAAAATAAAGTAGTCATCTACAAGGAAAGAAATGTAGAACTGCTGAACCTCACCCAAAGAACAGGTTTTGCATGCTGGTCACTCTCTAAGAAAAACCTCACCAAAATTTTTGAGGACAAATAGATAAGTTCTCATTTTAACCTCTAAAGCAGAAAGGCCCACATTCCTTTGGTGATGAGCAAGATAGCATCTGTTGTAACCCTGCAACCTGCTTGGGGTTTTGACTCCTATTTTTAAAGGCTAAGTTCTAATAGCTTTTTTTCTTTTCCTCCCCTCAATTAAAAAGAAGAAAAGGCAGAAACACTCCCTATGTCACAAATCTTGTTATTTCTCTCAAAATACTCAAGGCCAAAAAAGGACCTAATATAAGGAACAGGAAAAATAACAGTTCAAATTGTGTGTATTAAACTCATTTAGCTACACTGCTCTAAGCCAGTTCAGCCAGCCTGCACTATGGGGCTTAACAGGGGAAGGGAGACAGCATCTGCGTTGTGCCAGGCAAAAGACAAATCCAGACAAGGCAGAAAGTGGGGGGAAACAGTATAAAGACTGCTCTAAAAATGGTTCTAAGAAAAGCATGTAGAGGACAGGTGGGAATGGAAATTGGGAGCACAGAAGAAGTCTTTAAAAGAACTTTTGCCTCTCTTAACCTCGCTCTGGGGAATGTACTTCTTTTGTGCTCTCCTGTATTCACTTTCTAAACCTCCCACTTTCAGATGATGCCTCTGTAATCATTAGAAGTAGTCAAAAAGCAGGTGAACACAACTTGGCTCTCAAGCACAGAAAAATGAAAAATAAAGAGGTCTTCCCACTCTCTCCTGCTATTACTGTTTTTTCTCTTTGAGCCTAATGAGTGTAAGAAGGGATGTTTTCTCACTTTTTTCCTCACTTGTCTTTCATTTTGCTTTGTCTGCCTCTCCTGCACCTTGTGGATCTCAATGAAGCAGTCAGGGAGTTCAGACTCCTCCACAGAAATCAGATTAGGGAATTACATCCCAGCTCACAGCTTTGCTCAAAGGCTTGGACCAAACACAACGTCCCTTTTTGCTTCCTGGCCCAAGCACAACAACAAGACTTGTGTCCGGAGTCATCCTCCAAGGAGTGACAGCCCCATCCTCAGCATCTTCTCTACCAGCCTAAATAAGTCCACCTCCCTCGACAGCTGCTCATGTCCCAAAAGAACAGGACTGCAGCTGGTGCTATTTAATTTCACAGCTACTGCTCCAAACCATCTCACTTTTCAGGGTGCAATATTCTGCTCCTCCTACTGATAGCGTCTTGCAACTTTGCATTATCGACAAGTTCAGGGTCTTGAAGTATGAGAAAGGCCATGTCTAAATGTGCAAGCTGGGAGCCTGTCATGTGTTTCCACACTGAGTATGTGAGACACCGAGTTGACAAAGAGAGATTATGGGGTTAAAAACCCCTCCAGGTGAAGAACATATAGTGAGGGTGCAGGGTGTTAAATCGGCAAAAGCATTGGATATTCAGTATCTTTCAGGAGTAAAAGCTAAAGGTCTTAAAAAAAAAAAAAAAAGCCTGGGAAGATCTTGGAAATGCAACATGAACAGCAATTTTGCAAGAGATAACTCAAACATTTATTCCTCCCTGCAAGTTCAGCTGCAGTGTAAAAATGAAAGTCCATAAGGGAAAAAAAAAAAAAGTTGCTGTAGTACATAAATACGTGAGATGAAACAATCACAAAGTGTGACACCGAGTCCAGCAGCTTGCTGTGACCCTCAACTCCCCTTTCAGATTTAAGAGGCTCCTTCAGATCTGTTCCCACCCTGAGGAAGAGTCTGCAGTCACACAAATACATGCAAAACCCCGACACATCCAGGTTTCATTTGCGGGAGCAGAAGGCCCTTGACAGTCTCTGTGCAGGATGTGAGGATGCGAAAGTGAAAGTGCCCAAACCAGAAGTAAAAGTGAAAGTGTCCATTCCCCTCTGAGCAGCTTGGACATGTCACTACTGCCACGCAGCATCCTCAAGGAATGGGACCAACTTCTCGTATGGGGTCAGCCGGACAGCAGAGACGCATCACGGGACTGACAGCTGGAGGAGAGCTGGAGAAACACAGCACAGTTCTGCACCAGCACAGCCCAGCTGAACCCACCGTGGGTGTTACCTGTGCCCTGAAATCCTTGGGGAGGGGATTCACAGCCTGTCCTGGTGATTTCCTACCCTGATAGCAAGGCAGAAAAACCAGTCACCTTTGCAGCTATCAACATCAGTTGCCAATGCTGCAAGTAAGGCTGATCTTTTCCTCGTGTTGTGGCTGTGCAGAAGTCATCTTCCAAGAGCCTTGCATTCCTTGGAAGGCTGCTAACCTCATTCTTCCTCCTCCTTTTCTAGACTTAACGCCAGCTCCTTTGACCTTTCCACCCAATCATGCCTGCAAATGTCTCAACAGGCCCTATTCTGTCCTCTGCAAAGCGCTGACTAAAGTCAGCCTGAGTGGACGTGCACCACCGGCGCACACACCTCCCAGGAGCTGCACGCCTTTGCTCCCCTTTCCAATTCAGGGCTCCTGCAGGTACTGGATGACCATCAGGAGGGCCAGCCAAGGCCAAGAGATGCAGACTTGCCAAAACCAGGATCCTCTTTCGGCTCATCCATTTTCACGTGACCTCTGGATGGCCTCACCACGCAAAGACTTCCAAAGTCAGCCCAGGAGGAACACCCACAGCTTTCGAACCACTTATTGTACAGACTTGTACAGAGAAAAAGGTTTGCTTCTCTTTCTGGTCTTTTTTTTTAACCTTAAAATTTTAGTAGCACTTGCTGCAGACAATTGAATGCTGTCAAATCTCCAAAAGTTTGCAACCCAGCATGGTCAACACACACCGAACACAGCCACATTGCTCACCGACAGGGCTTTTGACCTGTCCTCGGCACAGCAGCTCCTGCACAGTCCCTTCCCACAGCCCTTCTCCATCTTGCCTCTCTTCAACCAGGATTTCCTCCGTTTTCCTGGCTTGGGCCCATTGTTAGTATGAGCTGTAACAGCAGGCATCACTGGCAGTGTCAGTTCTGGCACTACCACATGCTCCTCTGTACTGTCAACAGTTCATGTACCGCCAGCTGAGACTCAAGATCATCCTCCCAAGTTCTTTGGCTCTGCTGAAGTCCACTTTCTCTCTTCTTTTTATAATCTCCCATCCCGATTTTGCTGCTCTCACTCTTTAGGTTTACTTTTTAATCATTTCTAGCACACAGTAATTATTAGGACAATTATATGAACTGTCCTTTTTAACTCTGTATTATAAAACCCACGGTACTACATGCTTGACCAGCTATTCACCTGCAAACTTCTTTTAGCTACAGCCTGCTGACGGAGCAGCCACAAAGGTGAGCTGGTAAACGTACCGACAAAGAAGGATGCCTCTTTTTCCAGGAGTCCTGAGACATCCTTGATAAGCTCAGCCAAAACCTCCTTGATGGAGAGCAGCTGATGGGACAAAGAAACTGAGGTAACAAACCGACCTTCCAGTTAACAGAAGTCAGCAACAACTATTCTGGGAACTGACGTCCTACGCCCACTTATGTATCTACACCAAAAAGGTATAAAAAGAAACTCACTACCTACCCAAAATCAGCTTCTCTGCAAGAGCTTCCCTGTATGAGATCTCCCAGACAGACCAGACCCTCACTGGGAATGCCTGGCTGACTCTGGACTTGGTGACATGGATCATCTTTGAAGTGACACTTTCCATCGCTGACCGACCCCACTCCTGGGAGCAGTTTGGTGAGTGTTGCACCAGTGACACCTCACATAATATATTTATAGTTGCGCCCATCGGTAAAGGTTCATTAAGTATATACTTGCTTTGCTAGCTGGAATTCTGTAATAACTGGTAATATACATATATTTGCTTTACTCTTGTAATACATATATACTTGCTTTCCTAGTGGTAATTTTGTAGTGTCTTGTAGCATATATTTATATATGTACATATTTGTTTTTACTAATAGTAGTTTTCTAGTAATTTGTAATAAAGAAATTCTCAGAAATGCAGACTTTCATGTCCTTGTGTATTGCAGAGTCCTGAGAACCCCATGGTCACGCTCTTCACCCACCTGCAGGTCAGGTCACC